GAAAAACGCCATCTTGGATATGACGTCAGCTATGACGTAGCAATAGTCAAACCTCGTTCCAAGCTTTGAGCAGATTGACCCTTCCGCCGAGTATTTCTTATAACAGTTAAACTATGGTTAACTTTCTTGTGGGTAACTGTCATAATACTCACAAAAACACAGAAGGGAAAGGAGTAAACTTCCATAAGCTACCCAAAAATGAAAATCTAAAGAAAATTTGGTCGGCAAAAGTAAAACGCGAGGACGGTTTACCGAAACCCGAGAAACGCTACTTCTGCACAGATCACTTTATCGAGGAAGACTTCAAGCGGAATATACAGGGTTGAAAGTTGTGCCTTTAGACCTTTGCTTTGCTTCAAATTGAAAGCTATGTTTACCTTTCACATATTCAAAATGTAGATTTTCCTTAATTTTTTAAAAGAACCACTGTAATGGAAGCGAAATAAATTGAAGCTTGCATTGGTGATTGACCGCGTATGGTAAATTCAGTCGCGACCAAAGGCGACATTCGCCGTTTTTTCCCAAAAATGTTGCCAAACATTTTTCCAAAACAATATTTATAATTATTTCAAAAGGCAATTGAATATTTATTAATTTTAGAATCACCGTAAAAATGTCTCCTCGTCACTCTGTGTAAATAAGATAATAAGGAAAACCATTAGTGTGTTCAGTGGTTGGTTTTTTCTTTCTTGTCGAAGGTACAGTATACCCGTTCCACGCCCACCAAAGGAGGACCTGCTCGCACGGCATGTATCCAGATTTGGAAAAAAAATTAAGCAAGTGAAAAAAATAAAAATACAAAAATTAAATAACCCGCCTACAATGCCACTAGCATTCACATCGTTAGTTTTAAGTTTTAGGAACAGACAGTTCAAGGTATTTTAATGATTGGAACTGGAGTCGATACCCTTATAGCGGCGTAGAAAAACCTCCTTTAATGTTTAGGAAATACAAAGACAATTTTTTTTTAATTAAACGTGACTATCCCGGCCATGAGTCATTCTCCTCAGCGTCTTTAAAGCCTTTATAATTTCCGGCTGCATTTGGGTAATTACTTCTCATTGATGCCCCAATACGCGAAGGAGTCACGCGTTTGTCCGTTACCAAGATTGTTATAAGTCCACCAAGTGGACTGTCTATAACCCGCCAATCGCATACTCATATGAAAAAAACAAAATACTCTTATACATGGTCAGAACGGAACTAAGACAAATGCATTTGAAATAAACAAATTCTATTTCGTCAAGCAGGCGCCTATTTGTAATGAGATCGATATATCCTAAGCTAACACTTCGACAACGGGAGACTTCCTGACGCGCGTCGTATAACGTGTAGTTCTGTGTACACGTAACAAATTTGGAACAGTAGACCTCCTTTTTTTAATTTTCCCAGAGTAGGGAATGTAATAATTCTCTTTAGTACTCTTTCTTTCAATTTTGTCTCGTTCACGTTCATACTTACTCATGATTTACCTCCATTAGGAAAACAAAGCATACAAACTAAAGAAGTCTGTATACAATTGATATTGCGGTGAAGTTCACCCCTACGACAAAAGATTACTACATCGCTTGGGATAAAAGGGCTGACAACAAACTGCATTTGTTTCTTACGGTTCGCATCAGACTAACTTGCAGACAACTTAAGCGTTTTGTTTGCATGAACTTTGTGAAAATGTTTAGATTCTGTCAATGCTTACTCATTTAACGGATAATCTTCAAGTCAATCATTTCTCACTTGGTGCGTGCTAATAAGGGCTGTTCTTAAGACGTCGGCCAGTAAACACACGGGTCTAAATGATCCGTGCTTAGTAATACACTGAAGCTTGTTCCCTGCAATTTCAATAATAGTTCATGACAGTCAGTTAGCAGTGTGAAAAAATCCGTCGCGAGCACTGCGGTGTTCTTTTGTAAAAAATTTAAAAAACTATCACTTTAGAAACAAAGATGTTATTTGAGAAGAATTAACTACCTTCCAGAGCGAATCAATCACCTAGTACATTAATTTCTTGACTGCAATTTAGTTTTCTGTTGGCATCTCTTGACAGTTGCCGCGAGCTAAGAGCACCACTCACGATTTCCAAGACGTGAGTGCGTAGATGTTTCTCCTTGTATATCTCTGCGTTTCTTCGTCAACAAAAATTTCTCCTTCTCCTGAGGACGAGCTATGTTGCGGCTCGAACATGAATGGACGAATTACACCGTCTGGATTAAGATCCAAGTCGAGAATTGAATTATCGCTCTCCTTGCCGCTGTTTTCTATGTTTTCAATTTCAAAATGTCAATTTTTAAAACGTGATTTCTGGCAACAAAAACACTTTCAGCTTAAATGAATAGCCAATTATGACAAAACAAGTCAGGACCTTTTGATTTGAGCAAACTTCTTCTAGGTCGTACTTCTCCTTTAAGTCTTTTACTACTAAGGAAATATAAAATATAATTAGCTTGCTCTCGTATTTCATTTCGTGAGATGGTTGATTATACAAGGGACCAGGGAGGGTAAGATTTCAGGGGTAGATGGAGGTTTTGTTCGATTCTCGTATTTCATGTACGTGACATGTTGTCGACTTGCCTTATCTTAGACATTTATACTTTGTTTTAGGTGGTTTTAGATTGTTTGCGAGTGGCTGTAGATGTTTCTAAGGTGGTTGTTGAAACTTTTGAGGTGGTTTTAGGTGGTTTTAGGTCATTCCATATTTTAGTGCGTACAGACTAATATTAATTGATCATTTACCAAAGTTTGCCACAGAAAACTCTGTTTGGAGCAATTTATGGAACTAATTGGCTAACAAGATCAAAATTGTCTTTCATATTTTCCTCTGGCTGGTGCTTTACCGAAGTAGCCACCTACTTCAAATCTCATTGAAAGCACTGAAATTGGCCACCACAGTTTCTTCAGAAACTTACCCTCTTTATCTTCGTAGTAGACTGAATCTCACTGTTAACATTTTTTAAAATTTAATTGTATTTTTTTTTAGTCAAGTGGTTGTCATCTGAACAAGTTCCTCATCAGCTTCAACTTCATAATGTGTTTTGTCATCTCAGCCATTTCAATTCTGCCCAAGATCCAAGAAGGTGCATACATAGTAGCATTACTTGAAATAAATTTAATTAAATTGATTTATCAGTGTCTTTGCAATTGTCAACCAAATTGATTGATTTTTACAAGTCATCTATTTATTTCTTGCAAGTTACCAAATCAATTTTGAAAATTCCAAACTCTTACCTGTTACTAAACTCACTTTTATTAACTGACTTTAGACAGTTATTATTAGCTTTAAACTCTTGTAAGCCCCTCATTAGTGGCAAATGGTGGGAGAAGTTTGACCCTTTAGGTAGATGTGATTGTTCAGTTGAGGTTGAAACTCATAAACAGCTAAATTTTAATTTATTTCTTATTCAAAGTATGAAGGAGGAATAGTCAGATCTTCTCTGTGCCTAAACTTAGCTTGCTCCAAATTTAATGCAATTTATCAGTGGTTGATTTAATTTGAGCAAGTGATTGTTTTGAACAATTTTATGCTGGTCAGTGAGCTTCATTCGCCACAGTGACTGTACCTTTTTCTCCCACAGTACAACCCAAGTCTGGTCTCCTTCAGGCCTCCATCATCTCTCTGTATGCCAGCTACCTGACCCTATCGGCTCTCTCCAATGAACCAACAGAAAAAGGTATTTTTGCTGCATTTGCCATTGGCAACTGAGAGGTTTGCTGGGATCTGGAAGGAATAATGAGGGCTAGATTTTAAGATAATGTGTTGTTCCTTTTTTCCTTGTTAGTACAATCTCAGGGAGGAAACAGCACCAGTCAAGAAATTTGTGGGAGCTCAATTGGGACAATTGAAAACTCAGAGACACTGGCTTTAGTTGTTGGGCTTGTTATAATGTTCGTGCTTGTCATTTACTCAAGGTCAGTTTCAGCCGCGTCAGTAGTAATATATTGTTGAGTGTCAGGCAAATTCTTATTGCAATAATGTTTTTTTAAAACATCCTCAAAATATTAAATCTTAAATTATGCCATCTTGTTGTAGTCTGAGAACAGTAGGAAGTGCAGATAAACTGGCACCATCAGCAGGGGCTAGTTCTAAAAATGGTATGTAAAGTCCATTTTTATACAGTAGGTGTAGTGGTGCACAAGATATTTGAAAGCTTATTGGCTTACTCAGGCAAGTTATTAGCAGAAAATGCTTTTTTTCGCTATCTTTCCTGGACAGCCTGATGTTTGAAAAATAAGAAGGTTTAGAAATAATATGCTCTTTCAACTTTTTTGTGACTGTTCCAGTTTGCTACAAGTGGCACATTATGGCTACTAGATTGCAGTTTACTAGCAGATAATTAACAATTTACTGGCTGGGTGAAAGTATTGTCATTTGTTGGTAGCAAGCAGAAAAGTTGGCATGCAATAAGAGCTTTGAAGATCAGTAATTAACCTTCTAGATGCGGGCACTCATAAGTTCAAAAGTTTTATCTGGTCATGAATAACTATTTCTACAAAGTTCTCAGGAGGTTTGTGTATCTCAAATTCTTAATTACAGCTGATGAGGAGAAAGGAGGACAGGAAATAATAAGCGATGAAGAGGAAGAAGTGGCTTACAGTTACTCCTTTTTTCACTTCATTTACTTCCTGGCCTCGCTGTATATTATGATGATGCTCACAAATTGGTACAGGTGAGCTCTTTTTGTTGGGATATTGTGCAGTTCTCAAGCAGAAAAATAATTTGGGTTGTAAGATGGTTTCTTGAAAAAAAGAAATTATTCAGTGTAGCTTTTCAAGGGATGCAACCAGATGAATAAAGATTAAATGAAATACTATTGCTAACTGATCATATGGAACCTTGTAAGAGTGCTTGTTCAGCTTATAACATATCTTTGAGAATTTCTGGCATAGTGGTCAAGATAAATTGTTATTTGTCATCCTCCTACATCTAATCAACGTATTGCACTGGTATGTTGAAATAAATTGTTTCTTCTCCCAATAGTCCCCAGGGCAGCGATCTAGAGGATTTCCAGAGGACTTCTGGATCAGTATGGGTCAAGATGATATCTTGTTGGCTTGGTTTTGCATTGTACCTGTGGACACTTTTAGCTCCTGCCTGCTTTCCAGACAGAGACTTCAGTCGTACTCTTGCTGCATAACAGAGCAATGATAAAGCGTTCTAAACTTAGTGGTTATTTTAAAGTATATATCATTGGAGTATTAAAAGTTAATAACATGATTTTGAGTAAATTTTTCAAAGACAAAAAAACTGCACAGGCCCGTAGGGCGAGTGCAATTTGTAGTCTTTGAAAAATTTACAAGTGCGTATTACACCAACTTGCAAGAGAACTCATGTTATTACTTGTTAATAATGTTCGTGAAAAAACATCACAGAAAGTCAAGACAGACGAAATGCTTTAACTGAGCATGTGCTATTTGTAATTTGCGTCCGTGTTACAACTTTGCACTCGTGTTGCATTAAAAGGCCTTTGTTTTCAACCTGTCAGAAGCGGGTAATTTTTTCATGTACATTATTACTGACGAAAGTTTTGTATAACTGCATTTGTTTTGCTGGGGTTTACTCTCTAATTAGTTTAAAGAAAACTCATGCCACCTTCTCACCCAATCAGATGCAAGACTAAAAGTTAGGGCCTCTAGGTCACTCGTGCTTTGCGTTTTCATTGGCTCCCTTGGATATAACCCCTTGCTCCGATTGGCCTTCGAGATATTCGCGGTAGCATTGACCGGTTTAGTTGAAAGTTGCTCCAAGCAATAAAATGAGGTTTAGATTTTGGTGCAAGGAGTAACGCGAACCAAACTGTTCAGTCAGAATTATTAGTATTTTTTTTTCACAGAAGCTTGAGGTTATAAGCTAATGGCACTTCGTGGACTGCTAGATCATATTTATTATATGTACGATATATAACTCGCGAAAATGCGTCTGAGAAAGTTAACTGATGGGAAGCAGTTTTATATTTGTGTAGTTAAACTGGAAAATAATCTTACTTGTAATGCAATTGTAATTTTTAAAAATAAATTCAGTAGAACTGAGTCATACTTAGCGAATGATTGCTTTTATATCGAGCGGTGGTTCATGGTTACACCTTTTAAGATATTCCTTGCGCGCCAAATAAACAGCCAGATGTAGACTATTTTAATCGGACAAATTTTCGCGTCTCGGTGAAATTAGGAAAAGAAAGGTCGTGTCACATCATATATATTTTTTTTTTGCGCTTCTTCCCTTGGGGCGTTACTCACGATTCGCGCTCGCCTGTTCGCCGGCAAGAAGCAGAAAATTACGCCACTTCTGTTTTGCTAAGCTACAAAAACGAGCAGCGGAGCAACGAGCGACTTTCTCCGGCTTCCCAAGTCTCGAAAAGCGAAAAGCTTCAAAAAGCATGCAAACTCGCCTTCCATGCAAGCATCTCGTTAATTTTAAGCATCGTTCTTTCTTGACTTTACCGTTCCCTTTAGGTACCTGTCTTCAACGAGAAGCTTTCATACAACGTCGACTCATTAACGCACAGATCAAGTTCTTGCTTGCAACTAATCAAGGATTAGAGTGAACCAGGGAACTCAGATATTACTTAAGATTGAATGCTTTGTGTTTCTGTGTCTCAGCTATGGAAAAGATCCTAACCCTTTACACCCTTACGGCAGTACCTATATTCTCCATACTTTTCTCTGTAGATTTCCTTTGGTTCTGACAAGGAGAATTGACTTCACAATCAAAGCATCTTGGGTTGGCAATCATATCCCTTATTCTCACAATCTTAATGAATAACACAGTATGATTGTAAGGAGAAATTAGAGGCTGGTCAATCTCAGGGTTTAAAGGATTATTAATGTTAATCATAATCCACACCCTCTCACTGCCGTATACTTAAATCCTCACTTTGTACTTCCTCACCAATAAGAATGACAAACAAAACTGATTAAATGTCAATTTATTGGTATACTACTGATCAATTATATCAAGATTCTTGAAAATAGCATGTAATGGTGCAATAGTGACAAAAAAAAGACAATGGAGCATCACTTAACCAAGATATAACAATAGACAAAAGAAAATTAACTATAGAATTGAATTTAAGTAGTTATCCCCCCTGGATTAGAAAATTTATGTTCAGCTAAAAAGACCCTCAGTTAGTATTTCATTTAAAAAAGTAGTATTTTTTATGACAACGTTTTAATTGATTGTACATTTATAATTTCAGGTTAACAATATTCACATGTTCCTTGATACTATGAATTATTGTGCCTTTGTTACAAGGTGCACTAACATATTTTATATACCTCCTGTTTATCATCACACTGGAGATTTAGAAGTCTGCATAGAAAAGGAAATTTTCCATGTTATAAAATACATTGCTCATGAACACAAATTTGTACATACAAGTCAACTTCACATCACACAGATGTGGTGTTAAACACCTGAAAATAACCTCAAAATTTACAGTTCACATCTAACGAAGAGTATAGAATACAAAGAAGTAACTAAAAAAACATAGCAAGAAAAACATCAGACTTTTGCCACAGAGAATCCTAAAATATAACTGACACTACCAAATAAATTTTCTACTAGAAAAAGCAATGAAGAGAGATTGCATGATACTAAGCTAAGCAATGTGAAGAAATTATTTCAGAAGAGCAATGCCAAAGAGATTCCCTTGATGTGAATTGAAAGAACCTAGTCAGTATTCCTTAGCAGTGTTCTATCAATCTGTATATTGTTCAGCATGATTTCATTCCTTCCTTTACAGCACCATCATCTAAGAATCTTTTTTGCCATCAGTAGCAGCTCTTATGGCTGCCTCAGTAGCTGCATCTTTAGCTGAAAAGAGAAACAAAACCACAATGAGATCTTTAAAAAAGGTCACATAAAAAAAGAAGAAAAAGATAACCTCCCTGCTCTTCAAAATGCCTCATTTGTTTGCAGAAATGTGGTAAATAGAAGTATTAACAAAATATAAAAGTTTTTTGAAAATGTACCATAAAATTATTGCTGTGAGAAATACAAATTATTGTTAGTTGCTAAATGGGAGAACCAGGAGCTCTAGATCTTCAAAAGAAGAAACTTCAGAAAACACTGTTATGAGACAGAATACTCAAGTATGTGGCTAGAGGCCTCAGTGATGAAGGATTTCAACCTATTTTGCAGAGTTGTGTTGCAAGTACAGATAATTGTTCAATATGTGGCCACAGGACAGTTTGAAGTCTGCAGTCATGGTTGTAATTTAGCAAACTTGCAAATTGCCTGCAATTTTTTTAATCATCATGTAATGGTCAAGAGCATGTGACACTACCAAATGCTATTCCAACTGCACTTGATTAATCTAATTATGAAATCATTTAAAAACATCGGGAAGGATATCTGTAAGTATTCAAATTACAAAAACAATTTGAAGTTACAACTTTGTATTGCCTATTACGCCATAAATGAAACCTACTTGTAGTTAAGCACACATCTTATGGTCACTCCGAAAGCATTAATGTGCCATTATCACTTGTAAATTTCTTTCCATGAATTTCATGCAGCAAGATTCAAGTACCACAGAATTTGTGTTGAATCACATAATAGCATGCATCAGAATGGCCCTAAATCGTACCCAGAAAACCTTCAGTTCCTTGTTTAACCAACCGTCCACTTTTTTTTTACTCAATTACAAAGCCAATGGGTCAGAACAAAGTAATGGCTTTGTCAATTGAAGCTATCAACTGAAACAAACTCCAGGCCTTCTATTTTCTTTCCCTCTAGGATGTCATTTTTTACTTATTTATTTTTTAAAACAAAGTTTATATTTATAAAATGGCTCACTAACATAAAACAGAAATGCTTACAGGCTTCTTTTGTCCTCATTATTTTAAAGCAACAACCCCCCTAAAGTTTCTTAGACATCTAATGATAAAAAGTACCTACATGACACTTTAGCGACATGTCATGTCATTAATTGACTTAAAAAATTCCAGAATTGGTACACAGCTGACTTATAGGTAGAAAATGCTCAACCACAAAAACACTCAGCTGGAAATTCAAAGGCCTGAGAGGCTGCTGGTGATGCTGTTAATGTTTTTAAATACAAAAAAATCCATAACTACATGATAGGTCCACAAACATCTGCTTACAGTGATGCTTTTTAAATATTTATGGATAACAAACCCGTCGACGAAGCCATATATAGTAAACACAATAACCGATTTTCCATTGAATTTCCTTCGAGAGCGGCGAAACCAATTAATTCATACTTTGCCCATAAAATCTAACATTCTTTTATTATTGAGAAATAAACATAAACATTATATGCATGTGTGAGGTTCAAATACATTGTACGATTACTCGATGTTAACAAACCGAAGAGCACTCTGCTGATTAAATAAAAAATCAGACGCCTTCCTTCACAACTGCAGATTGAAAGCTCTTAGCTGTTAACTTAGTTTGACGATAGCTCACCTTCTTGGGCGACTTTGTCGACTTGTTCTCCAACTTTATTCAAAGCTTTGTCAATTTGAGTCTGGTGCTTCAACACAAAGGGTCTGATAACCTTGTGGTAAATGGTGTTACATCCATTCCAAGACACAGGCGCCATACACCAGCACAGGAAAATCAGCTTTAAAAAAATAGTAACGTCACATTGAAATACCCACGCTAACCATTGATACGATACTTCGGTTACAGACTAAATGTTCGTGATGTCAACGAAGAGGCAAAACAAATGAAAATTCCATTCCGCAGTTTGGAGATTAGATCTGCTCACATAAAACGTTTCTTCTAATTTTGGCATCTGCAAAAAATTTTACGCTTCAAAGAAGTCCGAAGTCCACAAATTTAATTTTACCGGTAAATGCAAGTGAAGAGGTTGGCGATAATGGACGTTACGTAAAGAAATATAAAACCTCCACAATACACCTGATTGTCATCTTAAATAAAACCATGGCGTTTAAAAACCTGACAGTTAAATACCTTCACAAGGAAATAGAGTGGGAACCACGACAGCAAAATGTCCGAAAAGAACTCCACGATGTTGAAAACTCCGAACACCACCCAATAAATAAGCCATTGTGTGTCGTCATCTTTGTCTGCACTTTCCACAGCTTTAACCCTAAAAAAAGACACAGCGGAGTAAAACAGATTTGTCTTGGAATGAAATATCGAACAACAACGAGGACTCAGGCGCTAGTAAACGCTGAGAGAATGTGACAACCAGGTGTTCTACTCTTTCGTTTTAAACAAGCTTAACCCACATGCAAATGGCGACTTGAAAGCAAACAACTGAACAGGTAAACAGCTAATACGTGGTTTTCACAAAAAGGCATTTAAGACTTACGATTGATAGGCTGGATAGGCAAAACCCAGGCAGGTCACAATCAAATCTGCTCCATAGCCAAACACAAGATAAAGGGCGAATATACCAACAAGACCTATAAGTGCAAGAACAGCATAGTCAGAGGCGAAGGGACGGGGACTCGTCCAAAATGCGTTAGAGTATCTACAAATTACCGAGAAATAAATAAAGCCTTTTCACTCCAGTCTTCTTCTCGATTTTATCTAAGACATCGGTAAAGAAATTCTTCTCGTGAAGCCAATTATCGAGCTTTTCTTTGCCCGTATTTATACTCTCCGTAGCCGACATTTTTGCAAATTACAACGGAATTACTTATTCCAAGGCGGGTTTGCGATAAACCATGTATTCCTCCAAGGGACTGGTCACATGACTTGTTCAACCAATCGGCGTTGTGTTCAATACATGACTTAATCAGTCACGTTCTGTTCACGTTCAGGCAAATGGTTGTTTATTTTCAGGGCACCATTTCAATATCAAGAAAAAGAGTGTAGTTTAAAATCGCGCACTGTCTTCCTTCCAGAACTTACGATAGAGGATGATTACTAATAAGTATCTAAAAATCGTTCTCTTACTTGCACAAATGTTCCCCGAAACGCGAATGTTGTGTTACACCCATCCTCACCTCACGTATTGACATAATTTCTTGGCTTTTCCCCATCCTAGCAACTGATCAATGATTATTCAGATGTGCAGGCAAAGCTATACTAATACGTTTTGTTTGTATTATTTGATACAAATAAGAATTTAAGTGAGGTGATATGTCCGACCACCGCTATTAAAAACTCAGAAGAAAAATATATTGTGAGCCTGTTTTTGGCAGCAATCCAGATCAAGTACCAGAGCGAAACTAGGCAAATTTCGAATACGTCTTTAACTTATTTAAAGGATCTTTATACTCAATGACGTATGTACTTAGAAGTTATGACGTCCGCAGCGATAATTTCAAGACGAAAACTTTTGCCTCAAAACTTGAAGGAATTTTCGCCACGCTAGAGTCACGAACTAGCCGACCGTGGCAGGAAATGGACAGTCACTGCTACTCAGTTACTAGTAATTAACAATTTCAATAGCTAACCAGCGGGTATGGGATTTTTCTTCGCCAATTCCTTTCCCTTCTCCATGTATGCTTTTAGCGAGTCCGCTTCTTGTGTTGTATCATTTGAAACTTGTGCGTTCGTTGTAGCATCTTCCATACTTTCATGTACAAGTATCGCTGGCTAAATACCGGTGTGCGGAGATCAGGAATTTCGTTTGCGACGATCGTTAAATCTGCCGTGACTTTCAGCCAATCATGACACCCGCGGACAAGCGCATGCGGCGTACGTACTTACCTTACTTCTGCAACAGGTTTATTCAATACAGAATCTGTTTCAAGTTAGATTCTGACAGAAGCTTCTTATTTTTCTTTTTCTGGGGAAATGATCGAACCTCTCAGGTGCACAGTTAATTTATCCGGCTGGCCTGGGCTGACTTAGGATACGACAATATTTAAATAAAAGATACCTTCCTCACTTTCCCGTAAATTTTCTTTCAGTTTCAGTAGTACCTATGTAAGAATGGCCAATCAATCATTGAAACTATTAAGATTTTTTGTCTTTTATAATTCAGACTAGCCTCCTGGATTGGTTTTCATTTTTTTTTCTTCCTAGTGCATGGTTCGTACCCAAGAAGAGTTTGCTATCATAAAAGACTGGGAACTAATCAGGATAAAATCCAAAATGGTGTTCGACAGGCTAAGAGGAATCGAACGAGAAAATCTCCCTCTTTCGCGGCAACAAACCGTTGACGACCAGGAATCTCTAGCACAACAAAATATTTTATCATCTGTTAATGGAAAGACACCAAAAGAGCATCAGATAGGTGAGTTACCAAGCTGTTAACATGAAAACTTAGCCGATATGCTAAACTGTCAACGGCCTTACGTTTGTGACTTTCAGGAACCAAGAAATATATGTTATGTAACTACTTACAATTTACCGATACCGTTGTGGTTATTGCTATAATTAATCTAAAATGAGTAGAAAATGGTTTTAATAGCGTAGCAGAGACTCTGTACATCATCGTTAGATATATGCACGATGGAGCATAAGAAATAAACTTGTTTGAATTAGTAACAAAATAAACGTTATTGGGTTTAGAACAATTTGTCTCTTTTGGAGTGCTCTAGATTGTTGAGAATTCTGCTCTGCCTGTTTTATTTTCCTGTTTGATGTGTGGTGCTCACTACTCACGATTACAATAGCTGTTTTTGTTTTATTTTTATTATTTCTTGTCATGGAACTTAAACTGCCCTTCTTACATGCTGAGCTTAATTTGCCATCGATTGAAAGAGGATGGGGGGTGGGGGAGGGGGAGTGGAAGCATGGCTTGGGAGAATAAGATACAATTTTATGGGTGTGAGAGGTAGGGTGATTTATACTTAGAATAGGGGTAAGGAACAGTGTTCTCCACAAACCCTTTATCGATATAATGCCAAGTAGTGGCATGCCTAAGGTGCAAGAGGCATTAAGGAGGGGGTAGACAGGAGGAGGTGTTAACAGTTTGAAGGTAAATGATTCAAGCTTAACACTTGAAGTTTAAGGTAAAAGTTGGTAAATTGTCTACTTTCATCAGTTAGTTGACACCAGTAGCAGTTCTTGAATATTTGCTTTTTCCTTTGTATGATTTGTGGTGTAGTTGCTCATTTGTTACACAATCAACAAATTTATATGGTTAATGTATTTCTATTTTTCATCTTTGCAGAAAGCACACAAAGACTTGTTGGTTTTGCAATTGGTACTGGGAGGTAGGATGGAAGAATCCCTCTGAGAATTTTCTTAACTGGCTACTATTTGTGATCTGTCTCCTTATGAGTGCATTGTTTCTCTTAGTATTCTTGCCGCACAGTTTCTGACTCATCCATTTACAGTCTTCAGGAGACAGTGTCAGGTATCTTGTGCTTGCATTAATTGTTCTATGAATAAATTCAATAATGTTGACTGTATAATGATAAGTAAAATGTGGTCAACTGTGGGTTGAAAATGAGATCCTCAAGCAAGTCTTATGATGACAAACGTTACAAGAGGTTTGTTTATCCCAACATGAAGTTGGCTTTTAGAAAATGGTATCCTTGTTGGAAAGCTTGCTTGTTAGAATTTGCACAGGGAAACTTTGAAATTGTGTTTTTTGTTATAAAAATTACTTGAATGCAAGGATTAGCACCTCTGTCTCTGCCTCGGTGGCATATCATTATGATATCATACTTTAAATTTAGTCAGTATCTGTTTTAATTCGTTTTAGCAAAAAATTAGTAGATCTGTTGAACAAGGACAACCAGATCAGATATTAAGCCAGTCTGACTAAGAACAGAACATCAAATGAATCTATTTTTGATGGTGCCACAAATTGAGAACTGCCTATTCTGTATTGTTTTATTGAGTTTTTCTTCACCAGGTAAATCATGGTGCCAGAAAATACCACTTAGCACCCTTCACTGTGTTCCAAATCTTGCTTCGTGTGAGAAGAAGTCAGGTGAGATTATTAATTTTATAATGTGAACATAGAATTGGAAAAATCTACTCTGAGGCTGTGGTTATAGATGCTTGATAAAGACCAAACCCCTGTATTTAAATTGAAATGATCATGATTGTGATTGATGCTGTCATTTTAGGGTTATGGTGCTTTGTGGAAGGGTTGTGGTAGTACCTATGTTGTGTGTGCTGTCAATTTCTTTGGTGAAGCAGCAGTGAGCAGCCTTACTCATCTACCTTAGTAAGTCACAAGTAGAACTGTGTAATTAGACAGAGTAATTTTCAATTGAGTGTTGAAAATTGATTGCTTTGGTTTTGCTTTACTTGGCTATGGTCCTTTGGTTACTTGAGAGTTGTGCCACTTTGTCAATCAGTCAAATCCAAAACTGAAACCAGTCACAACATAGCTGCTGGATTTTTGCTTTGTTTCAGGGTGTTCAGATATTTTTTAAATGAATTGCGAAAATTGGAATACGGTCAAACATGTACAAGGAGTTCATGAAAGAGTCTGTAAAAAGCATTGTTTGTCTTATTAAGCATCATTTGGTAAGCCATTCTTAACTGAATTTTCACATCAATCTTTTTAGTGAAAAACCAGAGAGAACTAGTTCATACAAAGATGTTGGAGGCCATCTTCTTTTGAAAGGGTATGAATGAGATTAAGTGACTTCTAAAATAGTTTTATGAAATGTGTGCTCTGTTTTACAATTGACTGATGGAGATGAAAAGTAAAATTATACACCACAAATGATGAGATTAAAAGGAATGATTTAGGGAAGTCCAGTTAATTATCACTTCAAACACAGCAATGAAACAGTCTCAGTATCATACCATTGTCTCTTGGTCATTTCTTGCCTTGCAGCTTTGCAAATTTTTGGCCATTTTTTATTGTTGATTTCTGCACAATGCATGAACATTCTCTTTGCTTCCATTGGAGTTCTATTTATACCAAATGTACCCTGGTATCATTTTTTTTCTTGATGTTTTGTAACATTATTGAATGATTTTACAGATTAAGTTTGGCTCTTAGCATGCCAGTGGCAGCAGCAAGCTTAACAGAAACAGTCAAGGTAAATATATTATCACATCCTTTTTTTTTTTTGGTCCTTCATGTCACTAGAGGTTTTGCTAGCCTTCTTCCATGTAAATGTCAGTCTCAAAAATGAAGTGAACCTGTAGGGATGGACAGATATATTGCATTCATTTGTGTTTTAAGTTTGCTTTTCACATCTATCGGTGATATTGAACAAAAGAACTGCTGACATCTACAACAGATTTTATGTCAAATGTTGTCTTATTTATTGATCATCACTTGATCAGCAAGTGGGCTAAGGAAAGGGGAAGAATCTCCAACTTTCTGTACCCTGATCACCTCTCTCCATCTTTTAGTTCAAAATCTTTCAGATTACAGGTTATCATAAGTTCCTACATACCACAATCTCCACTCCCATATCCCATATCTCTCCGCTCATAAACTCTCCTTTTCAACTTTCCTGTCCCCTGCCATGGGTCAGCCATGATCAGCCAGTTTTTAATATGTTGGTGATTTTGTTTGTTTCATGGTCACATTTTTGCACTCCTCCCTTGCTTTCCACCTGTTAAAATGTCCAACTCTTAAGCCTTGTCTCTCTGTTCTCTTGCATGGCATCAGTCTTCTACTTTCAAGTGTTACAGTGTATCCCTGTATCCATGTACTGATCAGCTGTAACCAGCCAAGTTTAGGGGGCTGGTGCTTTTGTGTGTCAGTTAGGGATGTTTATTTAGCTCTCTTAGTGTAGCAGTGTACTTTGATATTTGAAAGTGAGGTATGTGATCTGAATATATTTCTTGCTTTTCTTTCAGAGTGACCTCACCCGTTACCAAGACAATATTTTTGACAGTTTAAAAGACTGGATGTACCGCATTGTAGGCTGGGATAGATCATCAGGTCGTCATGGTCGCCTCCTCCCCATGTGGACCCTGGTGCTTCCCACAGTTCTTCACGGCCTGCTTACCTATGTCTTGGGTACATTGATTCAACACTTGGTATTGATAAAACTGAAGGGCAGGGGCATCCACAAGTCACCCGACACAGACCCTACATCATCAGATGAGGAACTGCTGGGCCCTACTGATATGACTCATACTTATTACCCAGAACTTGTGGCCAATTTTTTAGCATTTTTTATCCCTGAGTTTTTGTTGTATCCTTTGGAGACGGTTCTTAACCAACTGTATGTCCAAGGCACTCGGACCATCATTGACGATCTTGATACTGGTACTGGTGTGGTGCCACTATGTACAAACTATGATGGTATGTTGGACTGTTTCCGCTCCATCTGGCGGGATGAAGGTCTTGGGGGTTTTTACAAAGGCTTCGGTGCACTGCTGATTCAGCTGTTTATTCACTGGCTCATCCTAAAGCTGACTCAGTTTGTGTATAAGGAAATTTCACAGGATTTTAAAGGCAAATAATTCATTGCTTGTGTGTCTTAAGAAATGAAGATCTTAATTAACAATATCTTAATATTGGGGTCATTCTTTGTACAGTTGATGTCACACGGGATTGTTAAGTGATATGTGTAGGACACTATGATCTTTGCAACGATTCCCTTGCTCTCCTAACTATAATTTATCAGAATTTTAACTATTTTGGTATGTTTTAACTGAACTTGATCCTCTATGGTTACTTCTGACTGTTATTGCCTCAAGTGGAAAGATAAGTTGGCCAAAAATTGAGAAAAAATTATTCTAGTATGTCTAAATAGAAGTGATACTTTGACACAAAATAAAGTAGCATCTATTTATAATATGAGTGCTTGTCCTCAATTATTAACTCATTACACCCTAAAATCAGTTTGAATATTCTCTGCACTGTTCCCTATACATCTCCTAAGTGCTGACAGGGAGAATTTGTTTAACAATCAAGAGTTTCTCTAGCTGGAGATCACTACATTATTTTATTCTCGTGACCTTTACGTTTGATCCAGGGGTGATAATATTACTGTCAGGAGAAGTTAGATGCCAGCCACTCAAAGGGGTCAAGGGTTACACTTGAAATGACCATAAAAGATAAGAACAATCAAATATACGCATTTTTACAGGAAAGTATAACAGGAAACCTTCATTTTTGAAAAAAAAATGGAAGTTATCCTTGCACTCTATATTGTTGATTGAACACTTGTCTAAGCAGCCGTTTGCACACTGAAGTGAATGGTTTCGGTGTAGAACCTACATTCAATAATTGAATAGAAAGTATCCAGTGAACAAACTATCAGACAAAAAAATTGGTTTTTCGTACCCACCCGAGGTTCTAAATACCACAGCCTAAAAAAGTTTCTAACGTTAACTTTATACCTAGGGAGATGAATAACTTCACAATTATGTTATGATTTAGTTTGACTTTTTTATTTTTCATTTTCAAGAAAGACAAAGTAATAGTAAATCAAATATCAAGATAAATAAGCCTTTTTTACACCCAAAGGCAATGGTGAAATGTATTAGATTATCCAAAAAAAAGCATTTTCTTAGCCCATGGAAATTCTATCTTGATCCAATGTTATGAACTCGGCATGACTAGGATGGCTCACTGAATGACGTTCTTTCAGGTTGTTAAGACCAACCTGTCTCATACTTAAGCCAGAAATTCACGGTGTTTTGAAAGCGTTCAACTTTTTCTTTTGATAAAGCTCAATACAGAATGGTAAATCACCAGGATACCCAATGCATCCAGTATCAGAGATAAAATTGGGTCCCAGGTCACCGTCAGCGAAGTCTTGTTCCCTGTGCGACACAAGAAAATGATGAAAAAAGTAAAGGTGGGCTTGCATCTCAAAATAGTGTATCATAAATTAGCTTATTGCAATTTCGTCTCCCGTTTTTGTCCAATGTCAGGACTAATACGATAGCTAACGATTTGGAACCATCGGATTTTATCTTATAGCTTCCATTCACTTTTACGAGCAACCTCAGCGAAGGCCAAAGTACTCATAACTTAAATCTCGCTGCAAAGTGACGAGAAATCACCCTGTAACACAGTAACTCTTGCCATAGTTAGTAGAGGAACTATGCTCTTGCGAACGTTGCAGAATCCTAGCTTGAAATTCAAAACAGGATGTCTAAGCGTTGGTACGTTCAACTACCTAGCCTAAAACCAAGGTTTCGCGTGGCAAGCGACGCGAACGTGCGAGAGGCATGCAAGGGCCATACTTCTTGACAGCTTTCCCGACAGCACGAATCTCGCGGGTTTCGCCGCTCATACCGCAACGGTAAGGAGATTCTGCTCGCAGGCTCCCCGCTTCTCACCTGATAATTACGTGCTGGAATTGGCGGTGGTAACGTTTCCTCCTTAGGTTTCGGAGATTTTGGAGACTTGGGCGGAAGGGGTGGGGGCGCATCATCATCATCATTATTATTATTTTTATTCCTATTTACGTCACGGAGAGCAACATATTTCTGAAAGAGAAAGATATTTTGAGATCCTTCAAGTAAATAACCTACGATCGGGCGTTCTTTCTTGGGGGAGAGTAATGGTGCAGTAATGCAAGAGTCAGCGTAACAAGGGCAATCCCGAAAGTCGACTTGTGCTGCTAGAAGTTGAGTGTTCCCAAAATAGAACGCCTGATCACAGATGAATGAGTCACTAAATAAAAAACGTAAATGAAACATACTACCCATACGGGTATCAGGTAGACAAAGAATAAGAGAGTAACCCACCTTTTCCTCTAATACGTTGATCAGTTCCACATAATCTGCTTCTTCTTCAGACTCCTGAAAAAAAAATTCATCTACAAATGAAGGATGATTAAAGAAGCTGGAGCGGTAGAAATGAAAGAAAAATAATGTTAAGTTTAAATGAAAAGTAAGTGAAAGAGGTGAAGAGGATTATCGGAGGAGGATGACGTCTTTAACCTCTTGTCTCAGTCTTTGTTCATGTTCAGTGAATAAATTCCATTCTTTGACCCTTTGCATCCTAACATGCGTATATACATTCCCCAAACTGTTCTCTTTTCATTTCCAAATGTGCCGACAAGGAGAATTTGCTTAACAATCAAAAGCATCTTAAGTTGGTGATCATTCCCTTTATTCTCATGACCTTAAATGTGTGATTAAGAGGTGATAGTGTGAGAGAAAATAAGACGTGAGTCATCCTCAGGGCTCGAAGTGTTAGGACAAGTGTACCGCTAGCAAGTAATCAGTTCAGTCTGACTTACCTGTCCACAAGGTTCAATGAGAACGTCTCCTTCTGAATTTATGGGTTCCTTTCGTTTGATTTGCAAATAAAAAAAATTAAGATAGGGGAAGTAAGTTGCGTTTAATATTCTCTTCTCCGATGCAGCCACGAAGGGTCGTTCGATAATACCTTTAACTGTCCAAATTACGCTATAAAACATCCTCAGTTAAGTTCCGTGTCTGTGATGAAACCATAATGTGTGATCAGAGAGTTTTCAATTGATTGTCGTTAAAACAAAATCAAAGAAATCACAACGGCCAATGAGAATTCAGAGTAAAAACAATCAAACTGCCTAAGGCGCAGGAAAACGTGGGCGACCAAGTCGTGATTGGTTTAAGTTTTGCATCTGATTGGTTGAGGGAGTGGTGCGAATTTTCTGGACCAATCAGAGAACGAAGTAAAGCAAAACATCAGGTTATCGCTTCTACCTTTTACTGCTGACGTATTTTTTCAAAGGACTTGATAAGGTTGACCAGTTAAGAGACCGATCGCAATATGAGAGAGGGAGAAATCCTCACATCATATGAGCGAATGATCAAAGCGATAGAAATATCTTTTAATGCACACAGACAATTTCTTTAACAGATTTTAGCACTGCGATTACCCTTTTGTGTATATTGACCATTTCCTTTAGAGATTTGTAGACTCGCTGCATTCCAACAATCAGAAACTTCCCAGAGCGGGTCTGATCGATCATGTAGTGCTTACAACGGCTCTTTACCCTGAAACAGAATCACGACATGAATCAGTAAAATGCAATACCAAGAGGCAGTAACTTCGGCTGAAAACGTATAGTTCGTTCTATCAGTTCTCCTTTTATCTCACCTGTAGGATAACGTGTAACCAAACCGGCTTTCACTGACTCGGATCAAGAAACAACCCACTGGTTTATTTGATAGCAAGCGCTCAGATTCCCTGAAACAAAAGCACCAAAACCTTATCTAAGGGTGTCTTCTTTACAAGCGATAAATTAAAATTTTAGTTCTCGTTGGACACACGTGTACTTGTTATTGTCGAAAAGAAAGCCGACTGTGTGAAAAGAAGGTTGGTTTGGGCAAGATCGTTGGATAAATTCTCTTTTGAGAAAGATGTTTTAAAAGACCTTAAAAGGCGTGGTCATTCAAAAACTCTGAGAGGCCCATGACGATATAAAGTCCAATGATTAATTAAGCTACATTTTATCTTTATGTAATCGGAGACGTTACGGGGTGGTCAGTTTTTTTAGAGAGAAAGAACAGATTGGGCGATATAACCAACTCATAGACTTCGATCTGCTACAATTTTTTCTCTCTCTCTTACACTTATTCTAAAGGAATTCACGAGAAAAATCACTATTTGATGCTGTAAAGTACTCAGTATTATCACATGAGTTGAAAATTTCGAAACTTTTGTTTCAACCTAAATAGGATGTACTTGCATACAAAAATGAGTTGTAACGACAAATTTATACTCATATCTACTTGTCAGAGATAAAAGCTACACTTTAATAAGTGGCTTCAAATGTTATAAGTAAATCAGATACACGATCGTAGCATTTGTTTGATGGACTTTGATTACCTCCTAGAAATAATTCCGTGAAACCATACACTGAATCCTCCACTTTCATCCTGTACAACTCCCTTTGGAGCCTGTGTCTCTTGAAACCACTGCACGGCACTGCAACACAAGAAATTTCCACTTGAAAACTTCCCTCAGCAAACCAAGAGGCCTTACATTTAAGCCACAATAATTATAGGGAAACAGGTAACCTGGCTTCGCTTTTGGAATAACCACCTAAGTACTAGGAAGCTAGGCTTTAAAATAGTTTCGTTTGATAAATCTATGACCTCAACCCGTTTGCATAGCTATTTACAATTATTTATGTCAGATGAATCATATTTATTGGTAGGTGGGAGTTTAAATCGGGGCAAAAATTGCGAAACAAACGTTCTGATAGACAGACAGACTGACAGCCAAGCAAAGATCAGGGGGAAAAACAAACAGACACTTAGATATACAGAGATTAAGAGAGACACGATGCGACCCGGTTGATAAAATGTGTGGTACATACGCTGCTTTGTTAACCACTCCACCAAATGCACCTTTGATAGGGTGGGGCTGACCAATAAAGACATCTTCTTCATCTTCCATGTCTTCCGTAAGAAACTCGTCATCTATCTACAATAATAAAATGAACAAACCGAGCTGTAAACAGCTGCCATCTTGTCGACGCAAAAGAGGGTACATTTGGATATCAAACCCTTACGACTTCCATAAAGAGCGAGGGCACATCAAGAAGAAAAAAAAGAACTTTCTGTATTTGAAATGATTCAGATTTGATGCCAATCATACCTTCCGATACGCAGAGGAAAAAATTTGAGGCTGGAGAAAAAAGTAAAACGGCCCAGAACCTGTTTTTAACCTGACGTTTTTTAGTTTCATTACATTGTCTCGGTGTGTTGAAGATTTTGAAAATTGGAAAATAAAAACCTCTACGGGTTTCTTGTCATGTTCTCGTGGCTGCATACCTCTATCTCATCAAGTGACCCATGGCTTTGCTTTGGAGGCAAGCCAAGAGCATCTGGTGGGGGTGGTGGAAAGTAATCCTCGTCTTCTTCAGGGGGTGGAGGTGGGAAATTTAAGGCAATATAATTCATAGTTCTCTTCCTTAGGATTTCTAGAACAAAGCGAGAAGTCAAGGTTGAATTCCAAAGTTAGTTTCAATAGAATCACGCATAGCATATTAATAAGAAAAAGAATCGGAGATTTCCGAACTGATGAAAGTTGTAAGTGGTAGTTTTTCTTCCGAGCACACACAAAAAAAATGCTCGAGATACAATAGAAAATGGTTCCTCTGTTCGCTTGGAAAGTTAAGCAGAGATATTCTTGATACGTAGACAGTGATTGTAAATATATTACAACCACTTCAAGATCGTGCTTGAGCATTTAAGACTAACAGAGCGGTATAGACCAAAACAAATCCGTCAAAAGCGCTAGGGGGGAAAGAATTTTTAACTTCCGGTGATTGAAAAACTTCTGTGCTCATTATCCCTATTTGCGGAAGACACTCTGACGATAGCTCTTTTATTTTCCACTTTTTTGAATTAAATATCTACCGAGTGGAAATATTTTTATCTTTACAAAATATCTGCAGTCTTCCTCGTTCCTTGTTTACCTTCTTTTTCCTTGTTATCTTGTTGCATTAATTCCTCTTGTTTATGGTACAGTTTATTTCCACAAGTAATGGAAAGCTGTAGCAATGTTGCTGTTTTCCTGGAGTTCATCATAGCTTCTTCTCGGAGTCGTTTATATTTTCGTCTGGCCACAAAACCGCGAACAACTTGACACAGGAAGAAAGAGTTCTATGAGTATTTCCCGTAATTTTATAATCCCACTGGAACTTAGAATAGAGTTCTAATCAACGCCCGTGCCAAGTGCGATTTCTCGTCGAAATCGAGTTTTGAACAGAGATGTTTATTTGGGTAGAAGTAAATGAAATAGAGGGCAACTGCATGACCTTTCTTCACCTCACCATTTAGAAGGCTCCTTCCTATTCAGGAATTTCAAAGGTTTTTTTCTTTTCTCTCGATCTCAGAATCTCGTCAGCCTTTGCAGCAAGTGGTGAAGTCTCGTAAGCAGTCTTTTACGCAAGTCTCAAAGTCTCACATTCAATTCAAGGATATCAAAGTCTGGGATTTACTCTGGGATTTGCTCTGCTCTGGGATTTGTTCTGCTAGCTAGTGTCTACAAGAGACAAAAGTCTGTGTATGATCGCTATTGTTTAAAAATATTGAGATGTTTAAGCTGATATATCGCAAAAGCGAACCAAAAGAGAGTTTACCTACTCTACATGAACTTTCTCCTGTCACTGACTGCACATTGTACGAGAGTGAAAGTAGCAATAAGGAATTGAACACTTAAACTTGTTCAATGCCCGGATCTCGGATTTTCGTATCAAAGGGCTCGGCGTCGCGGTATATCTGGAGATTTCACCCTATTGCAAACTCACTCCTTACGAATTCGCCTCTAGGGTGTTGATATTGCGTGTTCATCGAAAAATATGATTACGATTTTGATTTCGACAGAAAAGTACGATCTCGTCTCATTGCGTTCTACCGTAAGGAGACGAGTTAAAAGATTTGGGGGCAAACCGGTTAAGGTAATGGGGAGGGGGGGGGGGGGGGGGGGGGGAGGGGTGAACTTGTTTTCCTTCTAGCTAGGCCAACTCACCAAAGAGATAGGGGATAAAATTGAGATGGGGCGAAACCTACAGAAACACGGCGTCTCTTTTATGTCGTTTTCCTGTAAAAGTACCTTTTTGTATGGTAATAACGGCTTCCTGAGCTTTTAGGAGCTGATCCGCCAATTTGTCTGCGTGCCAGTACTTCAGAAAAACCTTTGTTTGTCTGTGAAATGAAAGAAAATCAAGCAAGTCATTTCTATGCCAACTGACAAGAAAAATTAACGTCGCCACGAACAAGCTTCCTTTCGAGTAGCATGTAATATATCATAAGATGAAAGTGGCTTAAACTATCGCACACTTATTTAACAAACTGCCGTTTAAAAAATGACACAACCCCAAGGATTGTAAAGTACTTTTTCGATCTTCAGATTTCAATCACATTATCTTGTTACAGAGATTGTTTTGTTCACTCACCCAATCTGCCAGCCATGTAGATTTGACTTCTTCAGAATTTGTCGACAGTTGGACTCAGTTTTCGGCAGATTTGTCGTATATAAAACAAGCTTATACCTGAAAAACATAAATGAGGCATACTTCATCACGTTGATACTTCGTGTCGGCGCAGTAAACTCCAAAGAGCTTTGAGCACCGAAAAGAAATTTACAGGATGCGATGTCATACTTTCAACATAACTCTAATTGAAAGAACAGAATCATGATAAGAGGCTAGGAGCTAAGGCTAGTGGTAAACACCAAAGTACAGTTTGTCGAAAAATGAGAATGAATAAATTATATCCTGTATGAAGATAATTATTCCATGAGCGTGCGTTGAATATGAGATGGTATCCGACAAGAGCGAATGAAATAATTATTTATATCACATTTCATCAAATCCTGAACGTTCGGATATTTCCAGCATTATTCAGCTCCGCAACAGTTGGCATAATGCATTTGCATATTAGGTAATAATCGGAGTTGAGGAAACCAATCAGAACACTTGAAATACAATATTCGGAGTTGAAAATTTAATAACATTAAAAAGTATATACCACACACATGAACAGTACTTTTCGCGCACGCTGATTGGTTAGTTTAGAGGTAATAATAAGCACTATTCGCCTCCGAGCAGATGAAGAGACAAACTCGCGCGTCAAGAATTTCATTTCCTTCCATTTTTCGGTATATGTGCGGTATGTACTAAAACAGTTATTCACCTCAGTGTCGGTGAAAGTGGTGCATATTTATCTCATCGCCTCACGATGCAGTAAATATCTAGCACGATTCACCTCCACTTTGGCGAATAATCTTTAAATAAACTGGTCTAAGTATCAAAAATTGAAATATAAATATCCAAAAATTGAAATACAAATATCCAAAAATTGCTAAAAGTAACTACCCCCATACTCGTCATTGAGCTAACCTGTCGATGAAGTCGGCAAAAGAGATCCTCAGAGCAAATCCTTCCCTTCTGATACGCGTTGTTTCTAGTACCCCTGTGTAAGCCAGCTAGTAAACAACAAAAACGATTTTGAAGTAAATAAAAATAAACATCTATACACAAAGACCTCTTAAATTTGAAACAGGGTCATCCTCACGTAAAACAACACCCAGTCACCTTTACCTGTTCTCTGACGTATTTGAGGTCAAAACTGTCCGAAATCTGAAACAAAAAGGGAAAAAGATGAAAACTTGATAAAACTTGAAGCAAGATTCTAGAAAACAACTGCATGCATGGGTTTTGTTTTTTAAGTGATTAACAAGTGCTGATATTAATGATGGTACCTTGTCATGGTTTGGCTTAATGCACCTGATAAAATGTGGACTAGCAGCTGTCATTCTTTCCATGAGGATTCCTAAAGAAGTCTTTCATGAGGAAGAAATAGGATCAAAAACTTAATTTAAAATGACAATTTTCAGTTATTGCTTCAAGTAATATAATACTCGGTGCCAAGCGAGATCATGGTTCATATTCAGTTGAAATCTTGCAATAAAAGAAAGACTGTCGTTAACATCTCAGTGGCAGATACAAGGAGAGGGTTCAGTGGTTCGGACCACCAGCCATATCAGACCTTTTTTTCAATTAAAAGTTTCTAATCTAAAAAAAGAAGAGAAAAAGAAAGCTTTGAAGTTTACCTTGAATTGTGCGCCAACTGTTGGCTTTTTGGTGGCTGGCATTCCTTGACGAGCTTTACTTAGTCGCTTCAAAAAGAACAAAAAAAAGCATTGAACATCCTAACGATTTAGTACAGAACTGTTGAGGCATCATAGAAATTTTTTTGTGCACTTCCTCTGCATCTGCCGCCCACCATGATCTTACGGAGCATTTCTTCGCCCGAGTGAAAGTAGGAGGCATTAAGTAATGCGAGTCGACGAGAGGTCTACAATGGGTTTAGCACTGTACCTGACCCCTGGCAATCCTTCCCCCCGACTTATCTCAAATCTTCCCGGAGGCGGAGAGGCACACATCTTGCATTAGCAAAGAGTATTTTGCGTTAACATGGCAGTTTGCTCCGCAGTCAAGTACTCCAACAATTTTCTCTTTGCCAGCTATGACCATTCATTGTAAAACCAATTTTCTACTGAGTGTCGCAACTTGTCTTTTGTCTTACCTTAGTTCTTCTGACCACATTTCCTTTGCTCACTCGTCCTTGTAAAGCCAATGTACCAGTTCGAGTGACCGTACCTGAAGTAGGACAATAAAAGCACATTATGCGAAAGCAAGCTGAACAGCTTAGTAAGCTCGATTGTTTAAGTTTCATTAAAGCGGTAACCAAAACAACGAACCGCAAACTTCAATATGTGAGTACAAATCAGAAAATTTTACGTTAAAAAATGACTTTAGAATAATAAACTGAGGTATGTTATCTGCGTCCAAAGAGGAAACTGGATGTGCAATATCGAATAAGGTTACAGTTAACCTGTATAGCAAATTAACATTCATTTCGTGGAAAAATAAGAAACTACCAGAATAAAACCAACCACGAGAGAACTTCGCTCAACATACTGGAATGTACAATTTTTCAATACAGGTGTACCGTACAGAGTCTCGTCAGATGCATTTCATGAGGAAAGGTAAAAACCTTTGACAAAGCCTAAACGAACAAATTGCGTAAAAGCATTTCCGGCTAAACTGATTACCAGTTGATAACTTGTTAAGATATTGTAGGAAACACTGTGGCCAGTCGTACCAGAAAAGATAGTGGTGATCAAACTGTTATCACTTCTACGCAGCATATTCATAACACCTGGTGGGAGAGTGTCACGATTTTTCTCCAGGAAACCTGTAGCGTCATATTCAACCTGCGAAAATAAACACACAGTCAACTATTCTTTCTACTTCTTATCCTGCGAGCAGGCCTTCATTATTTGGACGAGTCGGGGAGAGGTTTGTCTGGGCACTGGCACTAATAATCAGTGCCAGACCCCTCGCAGACCTATCGCCGACTTGCGTTGTTCAGGATCTCATACTTTCCCGCGCTTTCTCGCAGGCGAAGAAACGATCGTGGCAAAGTGCTAAAAATGAGAGCCAGCACGTAGATTATCCACTTCTAGTCACAGAGTTCCCCTGGCTTTTGTGTGTCATTTTTTAACTTTCTTTGTTTTGCAAGAGAGAGAAACAGAAGAAAAAAAAAAAGATTTAGCGGGGCGTTATTCATACTTAGCACCAATGAGCAAAAAGTACCAAGTATGGCTTTCTTACACTTAAATGGGTTTCCTATAAAAAGAGAAAACAGAAAACGGTATCTTTTCGTGTCAGCTCTTACCTTTCCAGCATAGTGGCAGATCCCAAACAGGTTCGTGTTTGACTGCCTTGACTTGATAAAAACGTTACTTTTCCCACAGTTTTGTCTCAATTTCTCCACAAATGAATGGTCTGTGCTCTACGAGAAACAGCGTCGGAAAAGCAAATAGTGAACAGAGAAACTATGCAACTGATCTAGCTATTTTAAACCATTTCTGTTCCTGTTTTCAGTAGGTAATAGGTAGTTTTCGTGCTAGTGTATAGTGTGTAAGATTGGTCTGAAATCATACGTTGAGTGATTTCGAAATCGAACGAATGCGTAGCACGAGTTTGATTTGAAATCACAAGTACGATTTCAGACAAAAATTGCACGAGACAAATTTAATTATTTACCACTTTACTTCATCTGTTTTGAAATCGCACGATTCAGTCGCTCAAATACACGATTTTCTAGTCTGTACAAACATTTTATTGATCTAGTACTGAGCTGGTTTGTAAAAAAGTTGCAAATATTCTCCTTCATTTTCCTTCTGAGAATTTTTTGTGTTTTAGTAAAGCTGTCATTACTTGAGGAAAAGGTGCGATTAAGAGCAACAAATGGCGCAATTTGTGAATAAATCGCATCAATCAGAGCTAGGCAATTACAATGCAAGGATCACCAGTGATTTCAAAGTGAACGTAATAAAGAAAGTATCACTAATTATTGTGTGGCAAGAATACAAGAAGAGTGGCAAAATACATATGAACTACACTCCACTTTAGATTTGGTCAGTGAAATCCTTAATTAATGCATAGAATACAATTTTGTATTAAGTTATAACTATATCAGTACTCTGAAGATTTGTACGTTAATCAGATTTGATACGTTAATTATTTAAGACTGGGATACAATTTTGCTTTCTTCTATACTAAATAAGCTTTCTTTCCGATTACAAACTCGGAAGAACCATTCACAAACCTGCGGAAAATGGCTCTCCTCATCTAGCAGCGCCAACACACCGATTGGTTTATTGAGAAACAAATCCTGTGGATCGAGAGAACACAATTTTTCTAGACATTGAACAAAATCCTCTCCTCATTTTTTAAAAAAAATATTATTTGAGAAGTTGCATGATGATGAGTTTAGCATTTGTCGTAGTTAATCCGGTTTAGAATCATCCTGTTAGTGAAACTAAACATGAAGCTTATAAATAATGTGCGTCTTCCCATACAGCTTCCTATTGTCAAAATACAATTTTCCCAACCACTGTCCTGCCAAAAAAAGAAGATTTTCAGTCCCACTAGAGATATTTGCATCATTCCAAACAAGACCAGAGCTAAACGGGGGTTTAGAATATGCCAGCTCTTAAATTCTGGTTGAAGACCAACAATGATAGACATAACTATGAACTGCTAATTTGGAAGCGAATTAAAAACGTTAGACTCGCCAAGACAGGTTTGTTGTCCGCGAATGTGACGCTTGTCCAATCAATGCCTTCCTTCTTGTACTCTTCCTGCTCCCACAAGAAAATGTGCTGTCAAACAAAGAACAAAACCAAGTTTTCAGAGCGCAATATATGGTTTGCAGCGCAACTACCGTAGCTTATCATGAAGCGATCCGCTTTTGTAAAAGGTTATAATCTCTTGGCTGCACGCATGAGGATTTTAGCCTCACTATCTGTCAGCAGAATGGAGAAAAAAGTTTTCCGGCTAAGGTCTTGTTTTTGTCGCGTATCATTCCCAGGAGAAAGAAAATTATTGCTGCTACAATGTTTCTCCACAGTAATTTCACTGTTTACCTGGTTGAAGAAGAACTGGAGTTGCTCATTGGCTAAGTTGATGCAGGCCTGCTCAAAGCTGTTTTTCTCAAAATGTTCAAAGCCAAATATATCAAGAATACCTACAGGATGCAAAAAAAAAAAAAAAAGGATATGGGTAACTCCTTAGAAACCGTTAAACTTTGAAAAACCGCAATTATACTTGCTGTCGAACATATCCTCTGCCAAAACATGTTCAGGAGGCAATTTTCGAGTCAAAGTCTCTAAAATAATCCGGGATTAAATTGATTTAGCTCTATGTTTGGTCTAGAAAACTCCAACCATTCTTTTATGAACCGATCAGGTACAAAACTTGAAACTAACTTCAAAATCGTCACTGGAATTGTTCTTAACTTGATCAGTGACACCGTTTACTGCTTGTATCTGTTTTGAGTTTGCTTTGGTTTCTTCAGATTTTCTCCATTTTATCCGATTGGCCGTTGTGATTTCTCTGGCTTTGAATTCATGACACCGTCAGATAGCGATCTATATCAATCAGCAACTTAACACTGATGGGCCAGAAGTCCGTAGGCAGCAACATACGTAAAATGTATTTCAAATTAACAAGCTCGTGCATTTCAAATCAACCAGTCTCACTCTTACCTATTTCTGTCACCTCCTCTCCTCTTGATGCCAATGGCGGAGCCAGAAGCTGGTTGACTTTGTTAACAATCCAGCCAAAGAGACGACCATACATTGCTTTCGATGTCGCATCTCGAACATCTATGGAAGTTGAAGTAACATTAAGTGTTTTGTCGCTGCCTGCCTTTATTCAATACTGGGCAGACTGAGCATCCGCTTAATTTGATACCTAACTATCAATGGAGTCAAAGCTTGCAAGGAATATTAAGAGATAGAACCCGCGGCTGGCCAGTAACCTTCTCTAAATGTGATCAAACATCGGACGTTGAAACTTAGAGTATGAATGCCATGATGAATCAGTTTTTTTCGAACAACTGGCGACTATTCGTATCTTTTGACACGGTCATGCTGCAAACTGGGAAAACATTTACACCATGAGTGACTGAATAAAAGTGAGTAAAAAATACTTATACTCTCGAGTGTTTTCATCTCCGATTTTCGCCAAATTCTCAAACGTTTCAAAGCGCACTACACAAAGATCTTTCTCCCTTACCCATCGCTTGGTGGTCTTTCAGTCTTCTTTTAATCACACTGCCACGAGTGGTGGTTGATGTGGAGGTCAACACTTCTGCTAGTTTCTCCGTGTCAACACCCAGAAGTTTCTGTCGCGGGATCAATAAAGCAAAAGCGCGGAACTAAGTTTCCATCGGTAACGGAACAATAGAGAATATTACAATTCTTTTAGAAACTCTGTGGTCTAATTTTGGTTCGGTGAAGCCCAGTGTTGGGGCAGACTGGATGAAATTGCTCTATGTAAGTAGGATTTGTGCTCGGATGGAGTCTCCACACATCTGCCAATTTTCGGTGCCTTTTTTCACATGATATATTGGTCAAGAGTGTCAAGAAAATATTTTTAAATGACCCTGTTTATTTTGGCAGTGTCAAACAAGATAAAACTCAGCTAACCGCAGCCATCTTCAAAGGCCCATGTGCGTCTTTAACAATGGCTCCTTCATTTTCGTCCATCTCAAAAGCGATGTTACCCATGTTCAGAACACCACCAAGAACTGTGAACAGATCCTCTTGTTCCTAAACGTAAAATATTACGAGTATCTTAGTCTATCAGCATAAATAAGATGCAACTTCAAAAAAAAAAAATCCAAATGATCTCCGAGACCTCCAGGACTAAAGGCATTGATGGTTTAAATGTTGACATTTTGCTCTCTTCTCGTGACCTTTTGGCCTTTAAAAGTATCGATATTGTGAGGAGAATTAACTCTGTTGTCACTCTAGTAGTGGAAGAGTTGATTGAGTAATTGCGGCTAAAAAGAGTATTCCACACAGGCCTTACTGCTGAGGAAAAAAAACCACACAAAATTGCTGGTTACCTCGTCAAGAAACCCAACCATGTCCATAGCATTCAGAAGCTCATTAAACATCATTTTGTTCTTCTTGACTTTCTTCAAACTTGCTGTTCCATCGCATAGATAACTATTTTACGTTTCAAAAGTAAAGCAAAACCGAGAAACTTTAATCATAAGTAACATATTAGCTGAACCCCCAGCTTGTTTCTACATGTCGTTGATGGTCTATTTTAGGAGTCATTTAATCGCAAACTAGGCTAATGGCACTTTTTTGTCGCTATTAAGTTCAGGTTTTTGAGTTTCTTATTAGACGAATTTGGGTCCAATGGTAATATACCTCGGTTTCTGAAGCCTTTTCATTCAAATGTTATTTTCCACAAATTTCTATAGTCCATCGTCTATCACCTCCCCCCCGCTACTGCACTTCAAACCCTCAACCAGCCTCCCAGCAGTTCGAAGAGGCAAAGTGAGAGTTGCGTGCTCTTCCCAAGCAAACGTAGGAACCATAGCTACATCTCGGTTCCAGACCCTTTGAGCTGGAGTCAGCACGACCACCCGATGACTGCATGGATGTCAGCGTGTCTCCTAAGTCTCAGTAAAACTTTTTTTTCCACGGAAAACGAGGACAACAGCAAAGTAAATATCATCACTGCATTTATCGAAAATTACCTACCGGTATTTGTCTGGCCTGGTCAGTCCATATTTGCTATGTTCATCAGCTGAAAGCCCGGCGAATAAGTAGTAGAAGATATGAAAATTTTCCTCTCCTCTGCTTTGTCGAACAACACGGGACTTCTCCAGAAGGTATTCAGAAATTTTAGCACCAATGACTGAAAAACGTAGTTTGTTTTAATTAGCATTCAATAATCGTAACTGTATTCGCCCAATATAATTTTATCCCGCAGTGTTAAGTGTGTAACTGTATTCCCACAATATAATTTTATCTCGCAGTGGGGTGTCCTCTCACCATCCCTCCTCTCTCCCTCCATTTTGTTTTTTTCTGACTGAGTAATTTACTGAATGACTGAATAACTAACTGACTCACTACCAACAAGTTAACTGAATGACCACTTTAATGACTGGCTAATTTACAAGTTGCCTGACTGACTGACTAACTAGTTGATGGACTAACTAGCAGACCAACCTGTGCCCAGTTGTTCAAATGGTGGATTATGCTATCCAACAAATAAATCACTATTCAAGGGATATGTGTAAACCACAAAACATACTGCACTATCCATCTGATAGAGATTTATTCAGTGGATAATGTTATCGGCTGAACAACTCGATTCTACTTAGTACTGACTGGTGGACTAGTTGGCTGGCTAGCTGTCTTGCTGGCCAACTGGCTACCTTTTGACCAACCAAAGCACAGACTGCCAAACAGACGAATGGATTGACACATCTATGGGCCGACAGATAAACCAACAGACAGAAAGATGGATTGATGGATGTAGAGGAATGGAAAAATTGAATAATTGACTGACTACCCAATTGACTGCCTGGTTGACTGGCTGACTTCCTCATACTGAGTGACTGAGTGGTAAGCTGGCCAGCTGACTAAATGACTGACTTACCAGCAGCCCATCCCTAACTGGTTCCCAGTGCGCTAACTTTTTGACGCATGACTAACTGAAGGCTAACTGGCAGATGGATGCATGAACAAACCAACTGATTTACTAACAGATAAAGTGTCAGACTTTTGAATATCAAACTGACAATCTGACTACCCTAAACTGTTTAACCATTTGATAGTTTGTTGTGCTGATTTTCTTACCCATGCCTTGCTGAAATTTTAGCTGAATATACTTTCCAAATCTGCTTGAGTTGTCATTCATTAGAGTTTGAGCATTCCCAAAGGCCTCTAGCAGTGGATTCACCTATGGTTTCATGAAGAAAGTAAATTAATAGAAGAAGAAATGAATAGAAATACTAGCAATCAACCCCTTAGCACAGCAATTGTTTCTGGGCTGAATTTCAGAATCCTCTCCTCTGAAGAATTTAGGTGTGAGGAACTTTTGACTCTAGCAAAAAAGGTTTAAGATACTAGTGCAAAGTACCTGAAGGATCTGTTGTTCCAACTGAGAAGTTCCTCTTGACAATTCAACAAGCTGACTTATTAGCAGTTTTGCTGATTCTGTTTTCCCTGCCCCACTTTCTCCACTACAAAAAAATTAAATATTAGCAGACTGTTGTTTAATGGTAAATTGATCTTGGGCCATCTCAAAAATCTTTCACTAGACTAGTGAAAGATTTTTGAGATGGCCCAAGTTTCTTGTTTAAGTCACTGAAAATTTTTTGCACTTGCTGTATTATAGCAATAAATAATGCTAATGAAAGTAAATTAATTCTAATTTTTCTCGCAGAGTAAAATCAGAAAATATATAAACTAGATTTTCTGTTTCACGGCTTTTGCTCCTTTAGAATCTTTAAGAACATTTTAAATGAAATGCTCTCAGAAAAAAAAAAAACAGCTTTCATCTGGAATTTTGATGCAAACCATTTCATGGTCATGTAGCAAGAACCCATCTGGCCACTCAGAATATAATTTTTCTTTTCAGCAAAAAAATTTCATCCAAGTCAACAGACTAAACCTTCAAGGACCATTTTAAACAACTGATGTTTCATTCTCCATCAAATAATTAAAATAAGACCGACAACTACTGTAACATTAATTTTTTAGGAAATGTTTGGGCACCTTATCACACAGCACTGACTGTTAGGACTTGCTCCTCCCACACCCAGCATCGCTTGATATGCGGAGTTGGCAATTGCAAAGATATGAGGAGGCTGGGATGATTTCTGTGCCATCTTGTATGTTTCTGCAGTCTGACAACAAGGTATGCAAGTTAATAATGTTAGTACTGATTGTATATCTGATCAGACTTAGAATCTTTATCAATGGGACCCTTGGGCACTTGAATGTTAAAAATTCAAGCATGAAATAACTCACTTAAGATAATTACCTAATTTTAACCAGAGCTGCGAACCTTAATCTTTGATCTATGAAGTAGGAACATAGTATGTGTCATTTGCAGGTACAAGTCTAGCCGTATACCTTCTTGCAGAAGTTGTATGTAATTAATCCAGATTCTCGAGATAGCAGAAAACTTGCGTTTTACTTGATTTCCAGGGTGATAGATGTCAATACCCAAGAGAACAAGGCAGACCCCTGGAGCACAGTCCCAGCGAAAAGCAAGGGCGGAGGGAAGTGTAGAGGGATGGAAAAAAAAATTTCCGCACAGACCCATACTTCATTATGAATACATATATGGGGCTTTATTATTCAATTATTCATCGCCAAGAAGATGTGCATGCATAATGAAGTATGGGGCTGTGCGGAATTTTTTCCGAGGGATGTTTTGATCAGCTTCATTTCATTGTTAACATTGTAAACAGTCTGAACTTTCTGAAATTTTCTTCTGCTAAGAAAACAGAGTCCTTAACTAACATTTGGGAGCCTGCTGTACCGCTTGGTTAGTTCACGTCGTAGAGCGCCGGACTGCTGCGCGGAAGGTTGAGGGTTCAACACTCAGGGTCTTAAATAATTGAGGAGAATGTGCTGCCTTAGCTTTGACATCGGTAAACGTTTAGACATTCTAGTCTTTTCTGAGAAGGACGATGAGCCGTAGGCCCCGTCTCCTGCCTCGTCTCTGTACTAGTTAGCACGGGACGTTAAAGAACCCACACACTTTCTCGCAAAGAGTGGGAAACGTAGCTACCGATGTTGAGGTCTGGCCTGACTTCATGTGTTTACACAGGCCCCCATTTAAACCAGCTCTGAGCTGAAGTGAGCCAGACTGTTTACATGTCACAAACACATGCTTACATTTACACCCACGCATACGAAAGTGTTATCTATGAGATGAAAGAAATTTGAATAAAATTCACTTGCTTACTGCATGACTGCCCTCTTATCGTCTAATCTTTCATGAAACCCGCAATTAATCGAGCTGGATTAAATTCTCAGAGCTTACATTGAGTTTGAAAACACGGATGTTGAATAAGGGGACCAAACAATTATACCTCTGAACAAGTGTATTTCCTTACTTCCTTAATAACGGCAAATTCGAAAGTCGATCATAATTTGCTACGAATATTCATTCTTACACTTTTGTGGTAAATTTCCAGAGGCTTGAACGGGTTGAGTGCGATAAGAATATCGCCGACGTAGGTCTGTGAATTTTCAAAAAAATAAAAGAATTAAACATTGATGAACAAAGAAAATCACGTCAACATAAAGTTAAGTGAATTAACACTCAAAATAATTCGGCTGTTTCTAAATTGAACACGAGCATTCGCGAGAAAAAATACGCACGTAGATGACATCTTGACTGTATCTGGCTCTCAGTTCGTGAAGAATTATCTCCTCATTCAGTTCAGATAAAGTAGCTAAATCGTCAGTGCCACCTCTTTTCCGATCATCCATTTGAGCAAAGTTCTAGAATACCAAACGTTGCTTCCTCACCATGGTTTCACCAAACGCATGACCAGTGTTGATCATTGCGTTACAAAGCAAGTCACGCAGTCTAAGATATCAAGCTTCCGCGCGTACTTCAAGCTCGTGGCACTTGCCTTGCAATACTATCCATATTTTAAAGCTTGAGCAAGAGGAATATAGAATCGGATCGATTTTTTTTTTACTTTGAAATCAGCGGAAGGACAGTGGTTAACCCTTTAAACCCAAAGAGTGACCAACATCTAATGTCTCCATACAGTAATACTGCTGATTAATTTATTAGGATCATGAGAAAAAAGGAGATGATCGCTAACCTAGGTAGCTTGGATTTTAAAGGAATTCTCCTTGTCAGTACCAAAGGAAATGTATAGGAAAGAGTATGGAGAATATGGATACTGATGTTAGAGTGTAAAGGGTTAACAAATTCTCTTCGCTTTCAGTGAGGATTGCATTGGGGGCATGTTGGACGGAAACGTCTTCTAAGTAAACTATTCTCTCAATATCCTGAAATGAAAATTCAGTGAACTGTGAGACCCATGAATATGTTAGGACAGAGGGAAAAAATTCTTCTCTTCAAAAATCTGGAACTGTTGTTTGGCAATGTGACTGGTATAAAATTGTGGTAGTATAACCCCTCCGTTATTATGGTGGCATGGCAAGCACTCGGAACTCTGAATGACTGAAATCCCACCGTAAACTTTTAAAGCACGATGAAGAAGTAAGAGCCCACTTCACTCTAACACTTTTACTCAGTATTCAATATAATACTCTTTAATACGTAGACGAGAAAGACGTAAATTCCAAATGCTGAGGGAATATACGAGACATGAAAAACTCGTAGGAAAAAGGTTTACATCGACGCTAAAGTAAGACACAGTGCCACCAAGGGACATAAAACAGGAATATATAAAACTCAATGTGAATTGCATAAAGTGTGGAAATATGGTGTAGAAATGATACGTGGAAAAATGAAAAGAATAAGTGCAAACTAAGGGTGTGGAAATACAGTATAAATAAAAAAAGTAGTTCCGCCACATAACACAGGATCTGTCCCAGAAACTGGTAGTCAGTGCTAATTGCTATATTGAATAGCAAGCGAGACTAAAAAACATCAACAATGCCATATGAATGGTCAGCAAGAGTCATAGAACACATACGAGACCGACTACCTAAAACCTAAAGAAAAACGAAGAAATTAGAAAAGGGAATTATGTATGTAAAAAGTAAAAGTTATAATTGACATATGAATATCTACAGAAGCAAGAGATTATCGAGTAGCCTAGAAATCAGCTACTCCCTTCTTAGAACTATAAATACTTAGAGCACGACTTGACAGTTGTGACGCATTCCACGTATCAACAATCCTCTTAAAAAAGCTGTTTGAAAATGTCTTTCCAAGCATTGTTCTTCTTACGTAGACAATCATCCCTACCCATCAGAGCATCTTTCAACGATTATAAGCTCGCGATCGTTTATCCGACCAGCCATGTTCGATTTGGAGTTAGAGTAGACGGTGGGGATAGGGGACGGGGAAAGGCCGAGAAGGTACAGTTGGATGTGCTGTTGGTAAACCTCTATCAAAAAAATTCAGGGTTGGAAAGATATCGAAGAGTGTGAACAAGTAGGTATCCAACACTTGCCCTATATAAGCAGACTATTTCTTTTTGTCTTTTTCTTTGTTTTGATGTTTTTCAAGCCCTGAAAATTACAAAATGTTCATCCAAAGTTCACAAAAAGTTTTTATTCCTTCTACATTGTATACATGATTGTAGCTAGCTAACAAAAGCGGCTATGTTGGGAATCACTGCAAGAGCATTCCCAAGCTTTGAAAACACAAAATTCCTATTTACAAGGATTGTCATGATCTTCTAGAGAGTAACAGATTGCATAAAGATTCTCAAAATCTTTAACAATGCAAACCATGTCGGATGGAAAGAAACTGGACTTGCTTCATCGAAGGAAAAAGCTGAAAATGCATTACTGCAAGAGGTTGCAAAAATGTGGTACTTTTGTATCAATCAGCAATGTGTGAGTGACAAGTGTGTCTAATATTTTTGACTTATTTACTCATCTTCTTAGAAATTAAGACATTATTCTTGACATGATTTACATTTATTATAAAGATTAATTAAATTTGAATTACTTCCCAACTTGAACCTTAAACATCCGAAAAAAAAAAAACAAAAAACAAAAAAAAAGGAAACCCAAGACCTCAAATTTCACACCAAGTTATTCACTGGGAACTAAAAGAGAAATCAATACTCAGAGTTATTTTGAATGTCATGAAAATAACATCACAATTTTCCAGACAGAGCCTCCACTTTCAAGAGATAAGTGCTCCTTATAAATATTAAACTACACATTAACTACTATTAAGTCTATACCAAGTTATTTGTAATGATCATTCCAAAATTTCATCCTGCCTATAACCCATTTTTGCAACAATAAAACCTTACTTACAGTAAATGTGCAGGTTAAATTCCTTGAAATGATCAAAGTAAGTTTGCAATGCCAAAACAAAGTTCCAAAAAAACTAAATTTACATGTAGTTTTACAGATTGAAACATTCTGCATTTATAAATACATGTGACATTGAGCATTGAACTTAATGCTTCAAGAATGAATCAGTAACAAATTGAACGAAAATAATATAGATGGATAAATTTCTGGTTCTAACAATTACCACCGAAAAAACAAACTTGAAACACACTGTACTCTTTACAGCGAAGATTTAAATGAATATGGAGACCATTTACAAAAATACTTCTTGTCAATTAAAGGAATAGCATCACTGAACTTTAAAATAAATTTTTATGATTTATGGTGAACAATAAACATATGTTTTTATAGATACAATACACTAGTTACTAACATTAACCTTTGAAGCCCATATAATAAATGTATTATGAGTTTTCCTCACAAATCATGAGAAATAATATTACAAAAAATGCATTTCACCATTCAACAATTCTTGAAGACATGCATGCACATGTATATCACAGAATTACTACATTAAATTTTATCAGGGCTTAAAGGTCTTTGCTAACACTCAGTTTACAAAGAATGTCCCTGATCACACACATTCAATGATGCAAATTAAAAAGCTAAACAACTTGGTAATACTAACAGTATTCTAATAACAACTACACTGCACAGTGCTTGAAAAATGTTGTCTTTAAATACATCAGTTTGTCACCAGCTCATGTTGTATAAATTGTTTCAACCTCTCCAGATATTGACCATACAATTCCACATCATTGTGACCGGCACCTTCCACCCAAAGTGGCTCCACTGTCCGCGGACATCGCTCATAGATGGCTAAACCATGTGAGAAATCTATAACTTCATCCTCTGTTCCATGAATAACCAACACTGGTGAAACAATTTTGGAGACCTTTTCAATACTGCAAAAGGAAAATAAAACCTTATTAATGATAAGTTCACTTGAGTCCACATTCAAACACTACAAAAGCACCATTTCAAATATTTGTTAATGCAAGGCTGGGAATGCCACAAAAAAGTAAGACACTCCACAGAGCCACTCTTTCCAAGAGGAAAACAATTAACAAAAACAACAAGGGCTGGTATGCAAACTTTGTAATTAACAAAATGTGGCCAAAATCTTTATCTTAAAGCAAAACAAAGAAGCTACTAAGCACATTTTCCCCCAAGCTATGCTTCAATAACAAAAAGATTGCATACATTTTTATCCCAACTAACTATTGTAATGAAACACAATCGTTCTTTTAGATATTTGTGCTATAAGAAAAAAACATGTGTCTCACATTCACATGATTGGATATGATGTAATAATATTGTACATTGTTTGCTCTGAATACTGATATTGCCATGCAACAAAATAGCAATAAAATTAATCAGCAATAACAATATTAAAGAAATATTGGATGTGTGACTGAAAAAGAAATGACCACTGTATATACATGCTTGTTTGCATGTAACCAGTACATCAAATGGCAAAGATATGGTGTAGCCCTTTAAGGTAAAAAACAAAGCAAATCAAATGGCATACAGTTTTATTCCAAGAAAATAGTATTCAAATAAAAATAAAAGCTACATCATTATGTCTAGTGACAAAGATAATATATGTTAAGTTTTGGTGTCAAGGAAAGCTCACTCTCAAAGTAAAACATTACCAAAACCTCTTTTTAAACCAATAACAGATAAGATATCTGGAAAATATAAATTTGGGCTTGCAAAGAATACATTTAATACTTTGAAATTCAATTGACGTTACTATCTACTCAAAGATGAAACAAGACTTATTACAGCTTTATGAAAACAAAAGTATTGAGATTACAATGACTGTTAAAATTTGCCAGCAATAACAAGATGGCTAATTTCTTGTCAAATTGTTTGCTAACTTTTAAATTGCTTTTTTTAACAGTCAACAATTAAAAATTTTAAAGAGGCACTGTTTAATTCCATAGCACATTGAGCATGGATAATGTTTACACTAACATGCTGCTTAATCAGTTTCTCTGTGAGTTAAAATTAATACCTTGAAACTATTTTCATACAATTAATATTTCTCCTTGATCTGCTGGCCAAAAGATAAAACAAATTGTAAAACTGAATTTTTAGATGAGGTAGCTCAAATTGTAACACATAAATAAGTTAAACATCGTAGTAGGCCTAGGTTTTTTTTTCTTTTCTCATCCAACCATCCATGAGATTCAACCTCCGTTTCACAGGGTTCATACTTAGATGAGTGGCTGTAAAAAATTATGTGTTGGGTACTTCACTTACTAATATTTTATTCAGACTAAATATAATCTAACTGGCTATGGCCTTCTCAAACAATAATTTGAGAAATATAATTTTGTATGAACAGTATGCAAAGCAATTTCCAATTCTTGATTGAAAGCCTGAATTTTCTTAAAGCTGTATTAAAATGTATTACCTTGGCAATAGGAGTTAGTGTTTCAAAAAGTGTTTATTTTTAAATCAAATTATTCAACATGTATTAATGCTCACTGCGCCCTTGACCTTCTCTTTTACAAAATCAAAGTTTTCACTGATACAACAGCTATATCAGTTATTACTAATGTAACAGAACCTGTTTCAAGTTTTGAAAAAATTGCGAAATTGAAACGAAGCAACCAATATATTATCGTAATCTTTCTGAGGTGTTGCTTTTCCTTCCCTTTGAAGTTCAATTTCACTTCAATCACCACAATTTTCAGTTGCCCTTCAGAGAAACAGGTCTATACAACTATCCAAGTGTTGATTTATTTCTATTTTCTTTTGTAAATGACAATGTAACTAAATGTGTTTTTTTAAAAAAGTAAACGACGGGTGTTGGCTACAATTTCAACAAAATAAATAATTTCAACTACACAGATTATTTTCTTTGGCACAGAGGACGAACGACAAGCATAAATTCCTTGATTTTTCGGCACTGCCCAACTAACGGTGGATTGGAAGCACTTCGATTGAGACTTTTCAATAACATTGCATGAATTGAAATGTCTCACCTGAATAAGGACACGCAATAAGAAAAAAGTAGAGCTTCGTTTGAAAGAACCTTAGAAGAATAGAAAGCGTCAAATGTCATTCAATTCGATAAAAAATTTGTCTTTTGAGTAAATGTTGGGCGAAAATAAATGATTTTCTGATCACAACGCTCAACTAGTCGCGATTTGAGATAAACTAATTCTATAATCAGAGTTTTGTAAACTTCTTACCTAGGAAATGCGTCAAAACACCACGTCCTCTTCGTCTCGGGAAAAGCTACTCTCATTCCAGAAGTAAGCGGTGAATGAAGAATGATTCCTGCACATTCAAATCTCGAAGCCAAATCTACCGTAGGTACAGTGCCTATACTTTGGCCATACACAATTATGTTCTCTGGGCTGATTCCGTACCTCGTTCGCAATGCTTGCCAAGCGGCATCGATATCGGCGTAAAGATTCTTTTCTGAAGGCTTTCCTTGACTAACACCGTACCCAGAATAATCGTATGAAAATATATTACAGTTAATCCTCGATCCGAGACCAACGTAAAAGCTTGACATTTGTCCGAGGTCTACGGCGTTGCCGTGGCTAAAGAGTACGGTGAAGCGAGCGTTCGGAGAGCATCTCACGTACATGCAACCAATCTGATTCCCTTTGCTTGTTTTCGCTGTGAAAACCTCGATGCAGTCTAGCTCCTTCTGGCCGTACTGCCACTCGGCTTTCTCTGTGAGATGAAGCCCGAAAGTTCCATCGCCCAAATCTTGAAGCGAATATGTCGGCTCCGGAGGAAGAAAGGCTAACTTCGCAGCGATTTTTCCCGGGCAAGGCGGACAGCAAAACAGACAACAAATCTCCGAAAACGAAAGCCCGTTCATCTGAAACCCTTTCAAGCTAAAGACAATGGTAGAAATTTAAACAAAAGGTGGAATCGAGATGAATTTAGATCAATCGTAGGTTCCTTCCATATTCGTGTATATTCCAACGACTAGGTCAAATTTAGATTCGGTTCCAGGTCCTTTGGGTTGCTAAATTACTGACATCACAAAAGCACCTGTCCCTAGAGACTATGACGTCATTTTGTTCCTGGTGGGAGGAGAGTTTGTTCAAAGCACGTCTCAAATGGTTTACTATCCTTGATATTTATCATTAATACCATCAAAAAGAACTTCTGATAATGCAGCAGCAACTATTTAACAATGGAAAATTTTATAAAGACTACTTCGAGCGAAAAAATTCAAAATGTTCAGACAGGTTGATATTTATTCAGGAAATAGCGATCATTCAACATTCCAACAATGCTCCTTATCCAACGTCATTCTTTGCTGCTCACGCACCGAACTGATATTTTAAAAATTCCTGACACGAGGTACCGATATATCGTACATTTAATAATTAATAAAATTATCTTGTTTAACCTATTATATTTAAGTTAATTTAAAATAAATTACATACTAAATTGTCAGAATTTCTATTTATCAATTACTAATTGATCACATTACTTTTTTTAAAATAATCATTACGAGAAAATGAAATTGAAGTACGTGCTAACGTCTGAGGTCGAGGTGTTCTAATTCTAGTATGAGAAATCGAAAAGAAGAAATTGACAACGAAATTTGTGCAGTAACTTTCTGGAGGAGAGAACGAACGAAACTGCAACGAAACCGTAAAAAGGAGCGGCTAAGCCGCAAGAAGTTTGGATCATAAAATTTTGAGAAAAGCCGAACCGAACTTCGGCTGCTTTAAGTTCCACCTTTGTTTTCATCGAGCGCCCGGAAAAAAAAGAGTCGGCTATGCCAGCTGATAAAAAAATTAGATAATATGGCTTAATCAAGCGAGTTGATAAAGTAAATTTGCCAAAATGTAGGAGTCTCTGTAAAGAGTTTCTGAAGCTGACGTTTCGAGCGTTGGACCTTCGTCCGAGAAATATACCGAATAACGGCTGTTTGGTTGTTTGGGAAAGGAGGGATGGAAACCGAACCCAGGAGAGCGGTGCAAATCGAGCCGAGGTAAGAAGTTAAAAGAAGTGCCAATTGTTAAAAAAGAACGGTGGATACGAAACTTCTTTAGTACTGGGATATGGCTAAGAATGTATTCCCGAGGTAGCAGAATCATCCCTTGAAGGACTAGGTGGAGTAGTTTGGCTAGAGTTATGCTGCTGAGACCTGAACCCTGACCCGGTTTAAGACGAGCATTTGTCTCTCTTTATAGCGTACAGACTTCATATATTGAGACAAAATTCCTGAATTAAAAAATAAATCTATTGGTATGGCAAATGTGTACCCACACCTGTGGTGTCCTATGACGGCGGGGTGAAATCTGGTGCCTATTACCAGGCTCTCGCAGTTTTCAATATGGCGGCGGTCTGAGCGATTGAATCGTTCATCGACGTGCCTGCATCTGCCTTCTTTCACTGGTTCTGTACGCGCACAAATCTCAAAATGCCAACAGTGGTACTTCTTGATGTCTCACTTTCCATGCTACGGCGCGTTCAAACGCCTGAAGATGAGTTTGTAGAACGCCGTCATCTTGCTATGCGCGGGCTTCACGTTTTCTTTGACTACCTATCAAGCAAGTTTAAGTTGGAATTCTCAGCTTTATTGGCCTTTTCATCTTTATGGGAGATTGTTGTACCGTTTACCAGAGATTACCAAGCACTAAAGCAGGGTTGTATAACAGTAGATGTCTACGACAAGACAAGTTTTGACAATGGTTTTAGTGGTGTTGTCGGCCATGTTATTGAGGAGTGGGGCACCTCTGTGCCGTGTCAAGTGATCCTTGTTACAGATGGCCGCACGGGGTCTGGTCAGGGATCGCTCAAGGAGCTTTTAGAAGGGAAGAGAAAGGAGAATCCTGACCAACCTTCCCCATTTCCCATCCCGTTTCCTTGTAAAATACATGTTGTATGCATTGCAACAGCAAATGAACTGGGAGGGGATCTGATGCTGTTTCAAAGACTTTGTGATTCTGCAGGTCCTGGAGGAAGTGTTTATGTGCCTGACATGCCACTCAGTGTCCAGTCAGTCCAGAATGTTTTTACGCGCCTTGCTCAAACTCATTACATAAGCTACGAGGGAACTCTGTCATGTGGCCATTTGCAATCCAAAATAACACTGTCACCGGCACCAGATTTAACAAGCATACTTGAGACATCTAAGAAAACCACAGGCCAAGAGAAGATGAGGAGAATGCCAAATGAACTGTCAATATGTGGTTTTCTCGACGTTGCAGATGCTGGAAGCCCACCACATATATCTCGTCATCTTGTGATTCCAGTTCCAACATCATCCGCAGATAGCAAGGATAAAGAAGGAGGAAAGGAGACTGTTAGAGACACTGATGAGGACGGTAAAACTCCTTCCTTCTGTGTACTTCTACATGGAAGTTTGAAAGTAGAGAAAATGGTGGCTATTGTCATGTTAGAGTGAGTATGATTTGAACATCTAGGTGATGCAGGTTTTCTATGTTTATGTTTGTGGCACTTCAGTAAATTACATTCTGTAATTTTGCATGTTTTTCTTTGTTTGGGTAGTTTTTTTTTTTGTTTTTTTTTTCGGTTTTCATACCTGGTATAACATAGGATCTTTAAAGAAATGCTGTTATCTTTTCTGTGTACATATGAGAACACACTTGTTATCAGAAGACTGACCTTTCACCTTGAAGGTCTTATGTAGTGTATACATGTAGTTAATATTATAATTGCTTGCTTATTTTCTAGCTCTGACTGGTTTGGAATGCTTCATTCTTGGGCAGACAGCAAAAAGAAATCCAATCTTGTTCTCACAACATTCTTTCCGGGCGAAAACAACATCTCATGGCTTGGTAATATGCAGAAACTTGGTCCAGCCGCAGAACTCGACTCCAATCCATATCAGACTTCAGACAATGATGAATCTGAGACAACACCCTTTCCAGTTTTGCCAAGTCAGAGGAGAAGCTACAATTCACAAGCCAATGTTGTCTGGATCAAACCAAGTGGATTACAGGTATGAGAGATGTGGTAGCTGGTTTGTAGAAAGAGATGGCTTGGCCAATGAAGACAATAATAATTAAGGGCAACCAGATTGCATCTGTTTGTATGTAAGTGTTCCTAGTTGTCCCAGATTTTTCAGGCAAATGAAGACTTGAAATCGTAGAGGTCTGCAATTATCATCAATGGTGGGATGTAAATCTGAGGAATCAGCAGCATTTCCACTTTTTAGGTATCCTTAATATTTGATATCATCAGTGCTATGGCTTTACTCAGGGAAAAACCTCAGTTATTTGGAGTATTCCAGCAATTGTATATCTAGGAAATCTTGGACATATGTGAAAAGATTTGCTGATATTTGTGCAAAATCTAAGATATGATAAGTAGCTCAGTTAAATCATCAATTGTGTTTGATTTTCCCAGCATCTGAAAATTAGGTTTGACAGTTAGTTTTTTGTGTATACTTTCAGTCTGATGTCCAGAAGCTGTTGCGGTATGCAAAAAGACTTCCTGAAAAGCAAGTCCAATTTTATAAGGTAACTGTGACATTAAGTTTGTGAAAGTTGTATCAGGTTAAACCGTGGTTTCGTTTCAAAATTTTTCCTAAAAAATTTGCTGCAGGTCACCAATCTAAAAAATGTTTACTGTAATATTAAAATATGAATGAATTTGATAAAATATAGAAGATCATTATTTGGTTGATTACTGTAAAAGTCCAGAGGTTAAAAGTCAAAACTACAATACAATTCCCATTGCTCAACTATGAACACTATTGCAAAGGAATTCACCTTGTTTCATCTGTTAAACTATTTTACCCCATGCATTTGCAGTAGTAAATTGAGTAGCAAAATATTCCTAAACCAAGATGTCACATCCATTTGATACTACATACTACATTCTGGTACATGTACGTATTCAATTTCCTTCCCCATCACTTTTTTAGGAACTAAACAGACTGCGCCGTGCTGCCTTGTGTTATAGTTACTTGGGTCTTCTAGATGTACTGGCGAGTATGTTAGACAAAGAATGTCACAAGGCAACTGATGAGGTAGCTCGCCAGTTACGACATGCCTCACAAAGTCTTAGAAGTGCTCCAAGTTTGGATTTAAACAAGCCTATCACTCCAGCTCAAGATTAAACCTGCTGTTGGTTAATTTGTCCGATGTAAACAGCTTTTTAGTTTTTCTGACACAGATATAACTTAATTAGAACATTCTGAGGCAGAGTTAAGAACAGATCAGGTGTACTTTCTATGTACAGATGTATGCAATGGTTGGTTCATAGCTAAGTAACAGTACTGTTTATGAGTGGACAACTGCTGCCATTTTTTTTTGTTTTAGGCACTGCAAACAGTTTGTTAGCTGACCATAACTTACATCTACAGTACCCTTGATGAAGAGGGCTATTATAACAGGTATCAAATGCAATTAAATGCAGTTTAATGGAGTGAACAAGAAAGAGAATCAGCATTCTCTAGTAGTCTCTGCTTGAGGCATTCCTGCATGCACTTTCATTGAGTGTGAACTTGCAGCTTTGAGAGGAGTGCCAGCTCATCATCCAGGCAGTTTTCCCCACCCCTTCCCTCCCTCTTTCCACTGTTCATTCAGTTTGATGGGCACCTGATTCCCTTTCCTGTGTGGGGGCCCATGGCTGGGTTGCCAGGATTTTCCAGCCATGGGAGAAGTCTCGATTCAGGAGCTGGCTGCCAATAGTGAAAGCTCCTGGAAATTTCAGGCACCCAACCTTCACTTAGTGATACAGTTGTTAAAAGTTAGTTATCATCATTCGAATCTCTGCAAAATAGCAGAAGAATAGCCAAAGAACAATGGCTGAACGTGGTTGAAAATGCTTTCAGTGTACATCAGCTATGGCATGAAATGTCATCAACTTATCTTTGTTCACTATAAACAGCATTAATAGCATGAATTAAAATCAAGGTCGGACAGTTCAAGTGTATTGAATTTTATTGTCATCAACAACTTGACAAGTTACATTTACTGGGCACTCTTTAACTCAATGAAACCTGAGATTTTATTAAAACCACTCTGACTAACTTTAGACAGGTCCACAGTAGTACAAACCTACAGTTCAACATTATGTTAAAGGAGATTATTTGAAAAAGTGCATATTTATATATATATGCCCTGCAATTCTACTTATATCATGCATTACAACAAATGGCACCTACTGTTGGTACAATAAACTTTTTCAAGTTTTTTTGATGAAATCCCAGCTGTTTCAGATGATACTGTAATGTGGAAAGTATCACCTGACACTTCTCCAACAACTGGGGCCAGCGCTTTTTTTACATCTACACTTTCAGTTCTTCATAACTGAGTTAAGCACACTTAAGTCACCAAAACAAGTTCTTTTTCCTTGCTCATGGCCAACTGTGTAAACCTGCTTTGGTCTTTTTTGGTGATCCTTTCTTCTTGTTTTTCTTGGAAATGTCATTAGGAGCTACTGCTGTTGTCTTTAACCAAACTTGATACCTTGTGCAAGGGGAAGCTCTTTGCTGAAGTTTATCGTACTGAAAAAGAGAAAAACAATTTTTTTCGTCAGTGGTCAATCACACACTTGTAATGGCCTAAGATATTTCATTTCTCAATGACCACGCTCAAAATTTACCATCTTTCGTATTCTAGACACAGAAGGCTTTGGATATTGCTAATCCCAGCAGTATGAAGGACACTTGTCATATCTTAACATAGTACATGGCCTAGCTAATACCATCAAGTGTACTGTAGCTCAGTTATAGAGCATCAAGTCATGAATACAAAGGTCTAAATCTGGGGTTCGGTTCTTCATGTGGGGTTCAAATTTTTTCAATGTTTGACACTTGTGACAAGGTGAATTGAACCCTCTCTCTTTATATCATTATACTTGCTTGAAAATTTTGTAAATGACAAATAACTTATTTACCATGTTGACCTCCTCATGTAGGCTTTCCAAGCATCACTTCCAGACTCACGACCTCCTCCAGTGTGTTTCTCACCACCTGTCAATCAATATACAAGATAAATGAATGAAACCCAAATAATTTGAAAAGTTACGTCTACCTCAAATTCAACTGAGCACATTTCTAATCAGCAACTTTCTAGCAAAACCTGATATTCTGCCAACCACACCCATTGTACTTACCAAATGCACCTCCAATCTCTGCACCACTTGTAGGAATATTGACATTGACAATACCACAGTCAGATCCTAGGGGCCTGGTGATTTTAGAAGCAAAATAAGGTTTGGTTTAGGCAGATAACAGTAGTCAGGAACAAACTGTACCTATTTATAATCACCAGCTTAACCAAACTTAACTGTGCTAAGGAATTCCAAAGTGAACTTGAGGACTCCACAATTCCTTTAAATGAATGCTAGATTGTTTATTTTTTTATTGTAAAAAAAATTGCTGAGTGAACGGAATGACTAGTTTGCAAAAATTTACAGGAACTTTTAAGTCCAAATTTTTAGTAAATCAGTCTGTAATCCAAGAAAATTTTTCTGCATGAGCATTCTTGGAAATGCACGAGATACTTAGATACCCTGACTTTAAGAATGGTTATTATGACTGACTTTCAGTTAATAATTACCCCATCCAGTTGAACACCTTTCCAATGTCTTTTGTGAAAATACTACTGGACAGGCCCTGCTTGACTTCATTGTTATAGCCAACAGCCTCTTCAAAGCTCTGAAAATTGAAATTAAACATATATTACCATTCCGAAGACACTCATCAGTATTATGACTGAGGAGAAATCACAATTACTAAATTGCAAATCTACGGATTAATGTGTAGTTACAGTTTGGTCTGCTCACAAGTAATCGTCTACCTTGCATTTGACAACATACAGAACTGGAACAAAGGATTCCCTTTGCACAATCTCTGCATCATGGGCCAAACCAGTCACAATTGTGGGCTCCACATAGAAACCAGGCTTTTCTAACACCTGTGTGAGAAAACATAAGCAAAAAGAAATACAAAATAGTTTTTAACTGAATTTACCAACACTTTTATGGCTAATAAAAATTACTTACTGCTAGTACTTATACAATACAAAACCTTACTAAAAAATTAATTGGTATTATGAACCCAAGATTTTCAAGCAACTTAAGCAGCTGATATTGTTTTGATTAGATGATATCATTCTGGCTAATATTGGCAATGGTTCTCCAGTTTCTCAGATAGCCTCTATTGGCTCATTAACATTATGCCAGAAGTAACCATTCCTACCTTTCCACCATACACAATATTTCCTCCCTGCACAAAATAGAAAAATAGAAAAATGACTCTACTTTTTATATCCCATTTTCCAAAACTGTTTTTATTAATTAGTTAAAAATCAACAATCCTTCCCATTCTAGACGTCCACATAACACCCACATGTATGACCCACAACATTGCTGATACTTGCTTGTGGTGTAATATGAACCAGCAAGTTCTTTGAAGCACAGCAGTATAAAATTGCAGCAGTAATCCACACATCTGAAGTTAGATTCCTAAAGAGAGTTAAGCTCTTAGAAAAACAAAATTATTAACTCTGTTTGTATTTTGACTTGCCCTATAGCTACAGGTTCATAAAAATACTGCACAACTCATAAAAATACTCTATGATACTGCACACCAAAACATCTAAGATATATATCTAGGCTACTCAGCAAATATCAACAGACCTGCTTCTGAGCATCATCCACAGCCCTCTTGTAAATATCCACTGCCATTTCAGAGTGAACTGGGCCATACAGAGTGTCCGCTGTTTTAAGAAGAAATTAAAAGATTGGCATTTATTAATAACTGGTTGGTGAACTGAGTGGATAATACTGGAAATCTAACTGCATACTAGAGATTAGTACTAAGTCTAATAACCACTCACAAAGCATTCAGTCTCACTCTTCATCTCAAATATAACCACCGCAAGGAAATCAGCCTTGGACTGGCCTTGAGAGGACTAAGATTGTATAATTATTAAACTGCAACCTAAAATTGTGAAGTTGCAGCTGTAAGGGTTTATTTTTAAATGTTGGTCACTATCTGAACCACTTTCTTTGACAACATGCCGCTCCGATCATAACTTAAAGAGTGATTACCAGTAAACATGACATTTTCAGAAAATTTGCCATCTCCTTTCAGCCATTATTTACCCTCAAGTATCTGCAACCACTACCAACAAGAGATGTTTTACTTTTTTCCATTATGATAGTAGAACTTAGGAATGATACTCAAGGGAAGCAAAATCAGAGTTCCTCTACTCTTGCTCTTTGCTGTTTATATAAAGGTCCTCCTCAGACTCGCTACAGTGCAAAAAAAGGGTGCTTTATATATTATATATATACATATATTTTTATCAAATCACTTACCTTCTAAAGGATCACCAATTCTGACCTGAGCATAGGCCTTCTTTAAACGCTCTACAACATCATCATGAATATCTTCATGAACTGTCTGCAAACAATAAACTTAATATAATTATTTTCATCATAGTAATTAACAAAACAGCATCTTGCATTCTCTGTCTAGAAACAGCCACTTTAAACTAATCATTTTTATGAACTGCCTCTGTCACTGGAAGCCCAACAAAGGATTCAAGAAGGAGATATGATATCTCCATGTACTCAGGCATTCAGGGGCAGTCTTCATACAATTGTTTCACTTTTTTAACAAATTTCCCATGTTCTTGAAACCTTTATCATGAAAACTTGCATCTGCACAGCTTCCATGCCTTGATGGCAATTTGTGACTCAACAAACCCTGAATTTTTAATTCAGGCCTCCTCTGGCACACCTGTCTGAGAAATAGTTACTGACAGTATCTATCTCAGTGAAAAGATATGATTATAAATCATTGTCACAAACCAGTCTTCTTGTTGTGGTACATCTCTGGCCAGCAGTGCCAACTGATGCAAACAAAACTGATGGAATGGCAAGGTTTAAATCTGCATCATCCATCACTTGAAGAAAAAAGACAAAACTAGGCATTCAAAAGCAAACAAACAGAGTATGAGTACTCTTGATTCTTGATTATCCTAAAAATATATTTTTTTTGTTTCTAACTCAACAAGTAACATACACTTAATGTATTGTCCCAAGAGAAACAGTTAGTTTTGTTTTCCTGAGAGTCCTGATGTTTTATGAGACAAAGTCGAGGGAAATATCAGGACTTGAGGGAAAACAAAATTAACTAGTTTCCTGAGAGCTTTGTTATATATTTAGACTTTCCCTTAAACAACTATATGGCAATCATGTGCTGTTGTATTTGGCGTGCAGGCAACAACTGTGCAATTGTATCCCGGTGTGGATACATTTGCATTTGATCAGAGGCACAGGACCAAGAATCAACCAATCACAGTGCTCAATTTGTTGAGTGAAAATTTTGATATAATAATAGTCATTAACCTACGTTTTTCAAAAGATGATCCCTTTTCAATTAAAAAAAAGGAACAAAAAAAGAGTCTGCCAAGCAATAATCCAAATCAAATAACTGTTGAGCAAAACAAAAATTCTTGATATTATTTCTGACAAAAAGATCTTTCCATGTCAGCAAACCCCTAACTATAAACTTACCAATGATGGCATTGTTTCCCCCAAGTTCCAAAATTTTTCTCCCTGATAAACAAATAATTAAAATGCAATGTCATTAAAAGAAGATAATTAAAAATGTTATTTTGCAATTATGTGGTACAAATTGTGCACAATGTATCCTCAAAAATAAGCCCCCGGAAATAAATAAAATTACCAGCAAGATTATTTTGTCTTATTCAATACTGCTGCCCTATCTACCTTCAAGGTGAGTGATACAAACAATGACACCCACATGTAAAACTTACCAAATCTGTTTTGCACTGTTGTGCCAACTTTCTGCCCAACCTTGGAAAAACAAAGTTTGTGTCACACCTAAACCTGAAGTTTCTTTCACCTAAACAGTGTTGTGAAGAATGTCTAGTGTGCAGATTTATCAAACTTCAACAGACTGTGTTGGTTCAGCACATGAAAAAAAACACTTAAGTCATAAATATCAAGTAAAAGATGAATGAATAGTTTGTAGCTTTGACCATTTTGTTTTCTAGTATGCTACTAACATCACCTGTCTCTAATAACAGACATGAAATAATTAGGGACACAGCAGATAAATTTTACCTGTGTACTTCCTGTAAAAGATACCAAGTCTACCCTCTCATCCTCAGCCATAGCTTGCCTGAAATGAAAGAAATTTTTATTTTCAATAACAGAACTGCATTCTGAATTCCTTTCAGTAGACATTCCAACAACAAATGAAGGAGAAAAATATGAGAAAATTCACTATTTCTTACCCAATGTCTGCTCCACCACAAACAAGGGAGCAAACAGCTCCAGGAACCGAGTTCTGAGCCAACACCTCACTGACAATCCTGAGGAAAAAGAGACAGTCCTTAACACAACAATTTCTTCAGAAAACTTCCACTTAAAATTATTTTAAAACTCTCACTTTCCTTGAACATATTGTTCAATTATTATTTATAATGTTCTATGACTGAAATATTTGTGATTTAATGTGGGTGGCAAGAAAATTAAGGGGTTTGAATTTTTTGATGAGAGGCTTCACACAATTGTCAGAACTCTACCCTCACTGTAAGCCTATGACATCCTGAGACCTTGAAAACAAAAGACAGTCCAGGAACAAACTAAGGATGACTGTAAGACTCATACAGAGAGATTGTTTACTTTTTAAGACTCATTTTTAAGAGCCATTTGCTTAAAACTCACTTACTTTGTAACAGCAACACTTGTCAAGGGAGTTGATGGGGCACCCTTCCTGTAGGACAAAACAATAATTGGGAACAATTTTAAAAAACACTCATACAATTAATATCACACATTTAGTACATGATATTCCTTTAAAACAGAAGAATTTCTAAATAAATGAAAAAAAAAAAAGGCTAAAACAGAATTATATTTCTTGAGATCCCTACCAAAGATTGACATTTCCACACACCATACTGATACTGCTGTTCCAGCCAAAAACAGCCACAGGAAAATTAAATGCTGTAATGATTCCTACTAAGCCAACTGGATTCCACTGCTCAAGTAGTGTGTGACCAGGACCTGACACAATACAATGCAGGAAATCAAATTAACTTAAAGTGATAATGAAGAGATAATACGCAAGCTACAAAGCAATCGTGAAGCAATCTACCAGTAGTCATAAACAGCTGCATTGTTAGAACACAAGACTTGTTCTCAATTAACCTGACTTCGACTGTTTTGCTGTGCTTTTAAAAAGACCAACTGGTCTACCTTCTCTCAAAAGCTATCCATAGCTATACAAATTAAGACTGAACTGCATCACTGTGAAGTTAGTGAATGACAAATCTTACGTTCCGAAGGAAGAACTTTTCCATCGATCATCCTTGAGAGACCAACAGCATAATCACAGATGTCAACATACTCCTGAACTTCACCAATACCTTCTGGTTTAATCTTGCCAACTTCAAGAGCAACCTGAGACATGAATTCATAACAGTATTGGTTTGTATAAAAAACAATTTTGTTTTAAACTACCAGAAGCTATCAGCACAGTTGTATACTTAACATGGTCAATACTGATCTATCACGCTACTATCTAAATAAGTTTTACAATGAATTTTTTTTTTCAAAAAAAGTGAAAGATGACTCATGCACTTTTGCATTAAGATCTCCAAAGAGGGATTTCCAGTAGCATTAAATTATTAGGAACATGTCTATTTATCTTCATAGATTGTTGCTCTATGGTTTCTAATATCCCCACCCCTCTCCTCTCCTTTATTTTGACCATCAATTGCTCCCTCCCTTGGTAAAAATTTTGTTCACTCTCCAACATTACCACTGCAGTAAAAATCAAGAAATGCAGCTATAATTTTCAACCAGAAATTACTGAGAACTTGCTTGCCAAAATCACACTTGGCAAGCTACATCATGATAGCCCAAAGAAGTTTGTCAGGTTTTCTACACAGGTGTGCCATTGTAGTCATTCATGCTACCACAGAGAGGTACTGTGAGAATAAATTTAACTTCTTGAGAACACACTTCAGTAAGCCAAAGCAGGACCTTTTAATCTGACACATGCATACACTGATAATTTTTTTTTTTTGCCACACCTTATAGGATTAAATAGGAGTTAACACCTTACAACTGAAATCAATCTCCATGAGAGGAAAACACCCCTGTTACCTCATTCAACTCACCAGTTTTCCAAGGTTTTCCAAGTTACCTCTCAGTGCCTGGCCAATCTGACGAACAATTTCTCCCCGTTTTGGAGCAGGTGTCTATTTCAACCAGTCATGATAAAACATTCATTATGTCCATTATCAAATATCATATTCATAACTATCATAACAATTTCAGTCGATTTTAAGGTGCACAATACACAACCTAAAATTATATTTAAGGAAATTACCTTAAAATTTGATCCATTTTAAAAACTACATTTCCAACAAGTAAAAGAAGACAAAGTTTTACTGGATGATGCTGCTTACAGTTCTTCAAACTATTGCTGTCAGTACAGGTGTTCAATCCATCCCAGTCCTCTTACCACTCCAAGCTATCTTTTTTGACCAAGGTTTTTAGAACGCCTGCCCTTTTGTTTTTCTCCTTTAACCTTTAACTCCCATAAGTGACCAAGACAGAATTTCTCCTTACAGTAACAATACAACATCAGCCAGATAAGTGATGAGAATGAAGAAAAATATTAATTTGGGGATAATTAGTTGATCCAATACTAAATTCTCTGAACTAACACTGTTAGAACTGTATGGTTGACAGTAAGGAGAAAGACAAATTTGATCTGGGATTTAAAGGGTTAACCTTTAACTCCCAGAGGTGATTAATGTGTAATTTCTTCCTGTAATTTCCACACATTATCCAGAAAACTGGTAATGATAATACTCAAACTGATCAGGTTGAAGTTGTACTTTGATCTAACACCAAATTCTCATAACCAATTTACAAGGAAATGTGTAGCAGCTCGAGGAGGGAATTTAGGATTAGATCTTAGGAGTTAAAGGGTAGGGCACAAATTCCAGGATCAGAGTAAACCCTTAGGTTAGATTTTTCTTAATGTGCTGAAGTTAACTTTTCCAAGCAGTCAAGCCTAACCAATTTTCATCGTTAGAACCCAGTCCCTTATTCACTCAGAGCATATTAATCTTAATTAATTATCACTCCTTTTACATCCATTGAGACAAATAACATTTACAATAAAATTCAAAAGTAATAAACCTAAAAAAAAAAGTTACTTAAATAATACCATGGCCCATGACTTCCAGGCATCCTTAGCAAGCTTCACCGAATCATTGTAATCTTCTAATGAACCCTAAAAATACAATCATTTAGGAGAAGAATGATATAATTACAGCCCTCCAATCTATATTTTTGTCCTCTTTTTTTCCTTTCATTGCACTGCTGTTATTTGATCAGAGTAAACCCTATATGTTTCTTACTGTGCTGGGGTTCACCGAGCCCAACTAATTTTGATCATTGGAACCCAGTCCCATATTCACTCAGAGCACATATATTTTTGTCTTCTTTTTTTCTTTCATTGAACTGCTGTTATTTCCGAGAAAAATGATACCGACTTTAATTGATCGCAAAAAGATCGAGTTTAACACGGTTCCTTTATTTGCTGGTTTGCTTTTTTTTAAGGGGAAAACTGATGAGTCTTATGACCTACGTGATTCTACCCGAGTTAGATCGGTGATCATACACTGATCATGCCATAAACGTCATAAATGCCACGTGCAAACGAGTTTTAGTACATAAGCTCACACAACCTGTTCAGCTGACCTTAAAAGAAATTGTACACGATTTACAACGGAAAACAAAACTTACTTGACGAACTCTTGCAATCGGTCGTCCATTAGAAGGACACACAGACGTTACAGTCTACAAGTGAAGAAAAATAACACGAATCAGCAATCGTTGTGTGACACAAATATTGCATCCCCGTATTAATTTGATGTACCTCTCCTCTTGCGCCCCAAGAACCATTATAAACACCATCATTTTCAGCTTTGAGTCCCAGATCCTTCAACCAGGCGTACTTTTCTTCTTCAATCAACAAATTTCCTTCCTGTGCAGAGCAGAAAGAAGCCTTACTTAAGCCTAAATAAATGGAACGAAACGCTAAACTTTTAGGAACCAGTCGAAGCACCCGTACCGCCATTTTGAATCCCAGGTGAAAAGACCCCACGTGATTTTTGGGGGCGTATAGAAGGCGTGATCGTACCCAGTTTCTTCTACTCGCTCGGCTGGTTGATTCGAAGCCACGTCAATTTCACAGGGGTCGAGTAGTCGATCAAAGGTAAAGTCCGCGAATAAGGTACGAACAAATTCTACGAGAATTCATTCCTAAATAGTGCATCTTCAGGTTATTGAGGAAATGCTATACTAATTTCTGCAGTAATCGTGACATTTCTGACTTGCTCGCACTATAGTTTTAGCTCTACCAAATAGTTCTTGCGGTGAAACTGGCAATCCATGAAACTTGAAATATTTCAAATGTATTTCCGCACCGCATTTAATTGCCTGAAGTGTTTCAGCGTCAGTAGACGGGGGAAAAATGATATCATTTTGTTATCGTAAAACTGCTAACAATATAAATATACTTTTCGTCACTGTAAACTGTTTTCTAATGATAATAATTTGTTTTCCACTTCAGATACTGGAGTCAACATGGGTGACATAGATACAAATTGCATGACCCTCACTAGGTTTGTTTTGAACGAGCAGCGAAAGATTCCTGGGGCCAGTGGAGATCTTACTCAGTTGTTAAATGCAATCTGTTGTGCTATCAAAGCAGTATCTTCAGCAGTAAGAAAGGCCGGGATTGCTCAATTGTAAGTCCTTGACTCAACAGATATGCGATTCTATGCAAATTTTCGAGATTTCAATAGACCTCATTGGCAAGTTACTGATATTTGCTTTACAATCAAGGTTCATTAATAAAGCGTGTCAGGACTTTGAACCAAGACTGGATAAAAACCTCCTGTTAACATGCATTATTATGAAAAGCTATGTCATTTTTAAGTAATGGGGTGAACCTTTCCTTTATTAATATAATAATCTCAATTTGCTGCGTTTGATTGTGGCTGCATGGCCGCTGACAAGTATCACCTCTCAACTAGGAATATTTCTTTTTGTTTATTTCATATTTCTCAAGTCAAATTACCTGCACTACACAGGAATATGTTCATTCAAGGATTTTTTCCTCATTGACTTCTGTATTTCCTATGGAATAACCTTTCTGACAATTTTAATTTAATTGGACTTTATGACACATTACAATTACACAAGATTGTCCTCATGACAATTGTTTTGATCTGCCGGACCTGACTGAGGGTAGCAAATAGTTTACTCTCGAGGCATGATTAAGCTCAAAATTAATATGTGACACTTTGAAAGTCAAGGCAAGGTGAGGTTTGAGGTTTTCCCTTTTGAATCGTGACACATACTGTTTAGTTAATTAAAATAAATGTGATGTCTGAATTTTTCTAATTTGTGCATGAAACAGGATGAGGACCCCCTTCTCCTCCCTTTGTTTCCCCCCCTGACTGTTTGTCAACATTTTGCAAGAATTTTGTGAGGAGATATGTTTTTCCTGGCTGTGAACCAGGAAGTCATAATATGCCAATTATTATCTCAATTAGAAATGCACAACTTCTTGAATGAGTAAATTGAAAGAAAAACTCCTGGTTTGATATGTGTTTCAGATATGGTATTGCAGGTGATACAAATGTTTCTGGAGACCAACAGCAAAAATTAGATGTGATGGCAAATGAACTGTTTGTTAATATGCTGAAATCATCTTACACAACCTGCCTTTTGGTATCTGAAGAAGATGAAACGGTTATTGAGGTGGAAACTGAAAGGCAAGGAAAGTACATGGTTTTCTTTGATCCACTGGATGGCTCATCAAACATTGAATGTCTAGCTGCTATTGGCTCTATTTTTGGAATTTCAAGGAAGGTAATTATTTTCAAGAAAATTCTCTCATTCACCATGTATATCGTGTTTGATCAAAGAGCCACACTCCCCTCTCATCCATTGTCAGGTGAAGATAAACAGTGATAGATTTTCTAGAGAAACATGAGGCATATGGAGACACCCCTGTTTATACTGTTTGACTTGAGATCTCATGAGTAATTCTTATGAATTCCTGCGATACAATTCTTATGATGTTAGTTTGGATAATTTGGTATTTAATCATCAATTAGCTAAGTATCCCCTAATTGATATTTTTATTTATTCTTATCACTTGTCTGTTGATAATGTAATGATATTGTAAACAAGGATATGCGTTGTGTATTAGGGTTTGATATATACTATTATAGAGTAATGCATGCACAGACTAAGTTTTGCACAACTGTTTTATCAGATACCGATGAACTTAATATGCAATGATAGAAATATGGATAATCATGTGACTGCGGTTAAGGGTGTGATAACCAATAGAATAAAGATTATTTGATAGCTAAGGTGTTTCTCTGATAGGAACAAATATTACATTATGTTACCTGTAACTTTTTTGTAGTGTTCAGTTTGACAAGAGATTTGAGGTTTACATTTAAGAATTTTGTATTTAGACTACATTGCCTTCTTTTAAAATGTATAGATGTATCACTTTTCTCTTGACTGTAGGAACATGATGGACCACCAACCATAGAAGATGCTCTCCAGCCAGGAAGAAATTTTGTTGCAGCAGGGTATGCACTGTTTGGAAGTGCAACAATGGTGGTGATAACAACTGGACATGGAGTCAATGGATTTACACTTGATCCAGTAAGTGCATGGAATAGAAGGGAGGCAAATTTTATTGCATGAAAGGATAAGCTAAAGACATAAAGATTTTGAATTATCTGATAAATAACAACTAATTTGTCCCATTCAGGCTCTCTACAATTTTTTCCAAAGTGACATGCATGACTGCACTTATGTACAGTGTCAATCAAAAACCCAATTACTTTTGGGCCCAGTCTCCAACATTAGAGGGAATATAAATTCTTTTATTGTAGAATGTTCATTGATATTTTATGTTTATTATTTGACTAAACATAATGTTTTAGCTGATCTTAATTTTCTTGATATAGTCCATAGGTGAATTTGTTCTCACACATCCAGACATAAAAATGAAGCCACGTGGCAAGCCTATCTACAGTATAAATGAAGGAAATGCTTGTTTGTTTGATGAAGGAGTTACTAAATACTTAGAATCTATCAAATTTCCAAAGGTGAGCATTACATGAGGGTTCCATGAAATCAGTCATTAAAAAGCCAGTTTGTTCTTGGATGGTAGTATCTGCACAATCAATATTTATCAGCGTGGAGGAAATCTTTTTCACAATCACATAGGATCTTCCAATATCTTTGATGTATCAATAAAGGTCACACCCAAGATCCATAGTGGCCTTTGACCTTCTTGATAATGATTCCTAGGCAGATCTCGGAAGATCTTTTGTGTTTACAATTTTTAACCACGACAAAGTAAAACTACAATTTCAATGTGATGGCTTATGAAACTATTCATATGTGTCATTTATCTGACCTATAGGATGGTAAATCTCCATATGCAGCTCGTTATGTTGGCTCAATGGTGTCAGACATGCACAGGACATTAGTGTATGGAGGAATTTTCATGTACCCTGGAAATAAGAAGAACCCTCGAGGAAAGGTATCAATTGAAAAGGAAAATTTCCAATTTGGAAGTTTGCCTATATGTTTGTAAGTTTGTTTGTTCTTGAGGACTGAGATACAAACCATAGAGTGTAAGATCTTGATGATCTCTATCATCGTGATCATTGGCATTGTGATCATCATGTTTTTCATCGTCATCACTATTTCTCACTATTATTCTTCTTAATTATTATCATTGTCTTCATTATCGTCATCACCATTATTGGTTGAAATATGTCATATTTACTTGATTTAAGAGTGGTGAAATGTATAAGGCTACATTAGTTCTGCTTGATTTTTTTTGTGCTGATCACATGCTGATCACTCTTATTAAGCAATAACTGTGATTCCTGATATATCAGTTTATTTCCATTCACTTTTTTATTCATACGTAGCTGCGCCTTCTGTACGAGTGTGCACCAATGGCATATATCATCGAACAAGCTGGTGGAATGGCCTCAGACGGCAAACAACCAGTCCTAGATATCAAACCAAAGGAACTTCATGAGAGATGCCCTATCTTCATTGGATCAGCAGAAGATGTTAAAGATTTCCTCAAGTTTAATTCAGCATAGTGCCCTATTTCTTACAGTGTCTTTCATGAGAAATGAAGAGTAACATGAATTTAATGCAGTTACTGTTAGTAGTACCTCAGGCGTTATTTCATGACTGTTTTTCTGTAGTGTTAGTAGTTAGGCAGCAGACTAAAGTGGTGAAGGTTATTCAAACTATTTGTAGGCTATTAGAGTACTTTATATTTGTTATTTAACAGTGCTAATAAAAAGAGGGTTATTTTTTATCTATAACCATGGCAGCATGGGGTTGTGTTGACTGTTTGTAAATAAATGCTTACTTAGCGAATATGCCTGATTCTCTTTGTCTTTGGGGGTGGCATATGTGTGAAACCAAGAACCTTTTTTGAATAAAAACACAACTCATCATTTAAGTTAGCAGTTCAAAAAAGTAAAACTGTCTCAATTGTGCTGAATCCAGAAATAGGAATATTTCTGGACAACAGATTATTTTAGACTAGTTCTGACAGCAGCAGTTTCTTATTACTAGAGATTGAGTACCACTCCTGGAATTTGTTCCAAAAAGAACTTGCGTGCATGCAGTTTATAAACAAATGCCACAGGGTCTGACACTCAAAAGGACTAAAGGGACAGGAGGGCGAGGCAACTTTTTTCACGTTGTGTAACAAGCTATTCGTTGGTAAAATTCGGTGAATAATTTTGTATTGGAACATCGTCAATTAAATTTCTCTCGTGGCTTTGAATGGTCGGAGGTAGATTTTAGTCAAGTCACTTTTCTCGACGCCAGACGCTAAAAGTTTTTTTCTCAGAAGTTGGTGGGGGTAGATCTTCAAGGTTAAGCAGCGTACTGTATATTGTCTTGCATGACAGTGAACAGATTGAGGTGGAAGGCCTAACTGGGTCTTTGGAATCTTCTTGCAATACTTTCTTCCAATTTTGGGGAATAGAAGAAAGAATGCTATAATACTGTAAAAAGTTACATTTTACATTGAATTTATTGCAAAAAGAATTAAATGGAGGGAAATGGCCCTCACAGGAGTCAAAAACGTCCGAGATTTGTTTTATTCCTGCTTGATACCAATGAGGAAAGAATACCATTTTCTTATTCAAAGTTAAAAATCGGCTATTCCAGATTGGCTGTGAGAGGACCTCACTTTTATTTTTAGGTGTGGCCGTTGCGATGTCCTGCCAGTAAAAAATGATTTGATAGTAGAAAGTAGGAAGATGGTTGTCTAGGTCAAGGAGATTATAATCATAATTACATTTAACAGTTCTGTACCGCCAACATCGGCTAAGAGCGATTTTGCTATGTACTGCCATGGAGCATCTGAGTTAGAGCATAACCGTTTCACCCAGTTTAACTTAAGCACTTTGTCGAAGAGAGAAAAATCCTTCCTGTCCAAGCCCCCAGCTGTTTTTTGCTTAATATTTTGGCGGGTTTGCGACTCCAAATAAAGTCGAACGTGATCTTGTTTACTTCTTTACTGAAGTCTTTAGGGGTGTTCATGACGCTGCAGATAAAGACCAGTTTTGAAAGTGCTAATGTTTTCATTATATTTATCCTACCAACGATTGAGAGGTCTCTTTGGGACCACATAATCAATGTTTTCTTTAAAGATCCTAATTTTTCAAAAAATTTTTTCTTTTCAGACACTTCTGGATCATATGTAAAATGCACCCCAAGTACGTAAATTGGCTCGCCGCTCATTTGGAGATCAAGTATGGTATCTTTTCTGTGGTGCATAGAGCCAAGGCATAGCATTTCAGATTTTGTTTGATTTAGTTTTAGACCAGAGCACCTTTCGAAAAGCGATAATAAATCAAATAATTTCGACGCTGGTTGGACATCAGAAAGAAGTACAGTTGTGTCATCTGCATATTGCGAAAGTTTAACCTCAATATGTTTATCTATCGTAATATCTTTCATTTCTTTTGAGCGTCTAATAATTTGCGCAAGTAACTCAATAGCAATAACGAATAGTGTTTCGGAAAGTGGGCAACCTTGACGCACCCAGCGTTCTAGATGAAACTTTTTTAAGGCATATCCGTTATTCAAAACATTTTCATCTAGAACGCGGGGTGCGTCAAGGTACGAGTTACTTTTATTAAGAGTCATAGTACGTGTCCACACTGTCTCGTATGATATTGGTTCATTTTTTTTGGAATTGCTCTTTTCTTCTGACAAGCCGGTAGACGTTGAGTTTTGAGTTGCTCCATTATATACATGAAAAAGATTTTTTCACTCTGATACACTTTGAGGACGAGGGCACGGTTATTTTAAAGATATCAAAGTAGCATTATACCAAAGAAACCTTTTCACGGGTATTATATGTGTCAAGAAGATAGAGAGGAGTTGCTTTATCTCTGATCTCGGAGGGCTTGAAAATTTCATGTCTCTTCGGGACATTTCCTTTCTTTTGAGGCAAATACTTTGTAGCATTTTTCTGTAAATAGCTAAAGGACCTGAAAAAGACGATCAAGATATAAATTAAGAAAATGGGAGGCAAACGCATTATATTTCAACTTTTAACAAGGAGGAAGTAATGAAACACTATAATGTACTGGAAGCAAAAAATGCGTTATCTAATAAACGGAAGCCGCGGGTTTCGCTCATAGCGAGTTTCATCCACGAAGCGTTTCGCCCAGATCTAGACCCAGACCATAATTAAAAGAATTAAGTACACAGAATAAGAAACTCTGATCCGACTAGACCAACATAAAAACCCGAAAACATACGTAAACAGGTGGTAACAATTACATACCAGTATTGCAGGATTTGTGTTCCACATTTGAGTTATGCAATTGTCCTTGGAGGTACCGTTTGAAGACATTTTTTAAGCCGAGCGAGGCGAGAAATTTTTTATAGCGGGTTCGTATGGCCATCTATGATTGAATGACACTCATGATTGGTATTAAAGCTTTTTATACTGGAAAAAGGGGCGTTTTCTCTTTTTGATTGGCCAGTGAACTGACCAAAGGCTAACAACATCTTATGGAACTAGTTAACAAATTGTAATTAGGACCGCGCGTCTATTCGTAAACAACACAGTTTTATTACGCACTGTTGCTGTTCGTATTCAAATAATACTTGACTTCATTTTGGAAACAATGGAAACAATAAATTGTGCCAACTTCAAAACTTTCCGAGTAAACTTCAATTTTCTTTTCAAATTATATCAACAAGTAAAAGGGTGAGATTTTTGCAAGATACTGTATGAACTTTCATACCGCACGCTTTGTCGGAGTCAGGAAAATTAACGCTTTCAACAGCATTTAATTTGCTTCAATACAAAACAAACGCGACCTTCTCAAGAAAATAAGTGCTGCAGATAAAAATAATCATAGTTATACTTTTTCGATAAACATTTTTAAACGTCTATTTTGTATTTCGCGCTCAAATTACCTCCCCAGTCCCCGCTCGATTCTCAGTGAAAGAGACAACTTGTTCGTTTCAACATTTATATGGTCTCAGAACATGTCACGTTTTTCACGGCATTACACAACGTTCGTTCTAGGCATACGCACATTTAGGTTAACGTTTTTCGAGCTAGACTGTAGGCCTACTTCTGGGCGAAACCATTTTCTATGTTCCACGCGCAAGTGTCTTCAAATTCTATTAACAAGTGAAAGGGTGAGATTTTTTTGCCAGACGGTAAAATCCTTTTAGTTAGAACTTTCACACCGCACGCTTTGTCGGAGTCAGAAAAATTAACGCTGTTCCACCTGCGCGCACTCATGCACTAGTCTTGACTAGTTTTAATTACTTCTTCTATTTCTAGGCGAAACCATTCTTGTTCTGGGCGAAACTCGTTATGGGCGAAACACGCTATATTCTTTCTGTAACCATCTTCATGATCAATAATGATATTATAATGAAGTCTTCCGATGAACACCTTACGAGACTTTTTTCCACGCAAGCACCAAGCACTTACCAGGTTGATCACCTTCTCTATCGATTTGCTTTCAAGTCAAATTTAACAACTGGCTGAATGTTTTCTATTCTTTACGACTCTCAAAAATAGAGTTGATATAAGTATCAGTTTATTCATTAATTAATACACTATGTAGTGTAATTAACAAACAAAATTCTTATTAGTGACTTGAACAATTAACATGCAAACAATAACGTAAATAGATCAACTGTAATTCAATTTGACTAGTGTAATTATATTGTAATATATGCATTGTAAGTAATGCAAGTTAATGTAGTGTAAGCATCGTGTAAGAAGTAAGTATAGTGTAAGTACATATGTAAGTATAATATTTTTTAATATTTTTAAGTCTACGTTTTGAACACGTAACTATGTAAGGTTTCTATTATGAGGTGGAGAAGGAATTTTTCCTGCCGAAACAAAAATAAATCTTTCTTCCTTTTGAAAAGAGATGAGTATTTTCTCAGAATGAAATTATTTCAATTCATCAAGGTCACGTTTAATTTAGATCAAGCGTGAATGTTATTTCCCTTCTTTTACACGAGGACATGTATTTGTAAATAGCCCTATGCTCAAATAATGAGCACATCCACGGTGACATGAAATCTAACTTGTGATTCTGCACATCAATTGAAAAGCTTGTGGCTATGCTGGGAGGAAGTCACAGTACTATCGAAAACTTCGTTTTGAAATAGACAAGCTCCATTGCTTCTCTGTCTCGATCTTGTAAAGGCGACTTAGCACGCAAAGGATAAGATAGAGCTCCCTTAAGCAGGCCGGATGGGAGAATACTGTACTGCCCGCACTAGGAATCAGATTGCAGGATTTGCAGAATACCGCCCGCTCACGCATCGAGAAAAAATAATTATGAGTACGAAATGGAAATCAAAAGACGCAACAGTTGTTGAACCTGGTTTTGATATCATTTACGCGCAGATCAATTATTGAGGGACTCAATGGGGTGATAGCCTTTACGGCTAACAGTTATAATTTTGGCCAATTTAAGGCTAATGATTAATATCATTCCATTGCTGTCCACTGTAATTTTTTTAGGGCTAATTTTTTTTCCATACTATTTCATGAAGACATGTATATGTAAATAGCCCTATGCTATAAGTCTGAACAACGCTGTGGCGGTTTAGTTTTATAGTTTGTGGAATTGCTCACCCTTTTACCACACAAGTCCCTCGAGGGATTTTTTTTCCCAATGAGCAAAAAGTGGTTCAGTGAGCGATTTTTTGAAAAATGAATTAAACTTAAAGTGCAATCATATCTTATAAGAGGATCCTAGGCTGCCGTGCGTCTAAAAAATCTATAGGTGACCTCAAAATTCGTGAAGTAAGAGCAAAAAAGCGGCACTCAGAGGCGTAGCCGGGTGAGTCACTGGTATTCTTAA